ATTTCGTATTTATTAATTTATATATTATTTTAGAAAAATTGATAATTTAAATTATTAAATTAATTGAATATAATAAATTAAAAATGCAAAATCACTTGAAACCAAAAAAATTTGTTTGTTTGAACAAACAAATTTTTTTTTCGTTTCAAGTGTAAAAATAAAACTTTGGAAAACGGAAAAATTCTTACGTGCCTGACTCATAGAAACAATCATAATTGTACGAAAAGTATTGTGCCTAACTTTTAATAGAGAAAGACTGTCATAAATCCATGCATCATTCGCAAAGACTGTATCGCACATTTTAATATTAAAACTTTCACAAAAAAAAATGTTTTTATTAAAAAACTAGTTTTCTTTTTTGAGTCACAAATCAATGGACTCGGATTTCTTGCGTTTCAAGTTCTTCGTACAATTTTAGTCAGATTCTATAATGCGAGTATTATTAAAAAAAAAAAAATATTGCATGATTTCACTATTTTATCGTTTGTATGAAATTCAATTTTTTTTGTAAGGCATTAAAAATAAATTTTAAGTAAAAGTAAAAAAAATGTAAAAATACATTTCCGAAAAATGTAAAAAGAAAATACAAGCAGCAGAAATTGTAAAAATAAAAAAAAACAAAGAGTGAAGAATAAACTCTCATTAGAATGGATTTTTTATAAAAATTATTTTCCAAAGAGGGAAGAAAAAAAATTGTATTTTCGAATAATTTCCGTTTTTTAGCATTTTCATAAATTCAGGAAATTGAATGTAATCTGAAATTATATTTCAACGATTCGATTTGAAAAAATAAATTCAAGAAAAAGAATTTTGAACTGATTGACGAAAAAGTAAGAAAAAAAAATAAACTTCTTCTCTTGTTATCAAATTGTATCTAAGTCGTAATCGAATATTTAATTCCAACACAAACACACACATTTTTCACGTGTCGTTATACAGATCTCTTCGATATACATGTATTTATCTCTATAAATAATGATATATTTATCTCTCGTGACAACTTCGGGCTAAGATGAAATTCCAATAATCTAAAAGCTGAATTCTATAGTACGAAGAATTTTGAATGCGATCGAATTAAAATTACTTCTCAATTACTACTATTACTAATTACTACTTCCTTTTTAGTCCTATCATGCGTTGATAGTTGTAAAAAAAAACCGAGACTACCACTTTCATTTTTGATCGAAAAAGAAATTTTTCTTTTGTCCAATTTCTTTTTTTAGAATAATTGTGAATATATTTTATTTTAAATGCTGTGAAGAATAATTATTAGAAGAGATAATTATTTTAAGCTTCCTTGGCGAATTAGGAATTAAGAATATTATTATTAATTAAATAGTAATTGAAAAAATAAATTCAGTGGTGAACTCGGTGAAAAATACACCATGATTCTCTAGTCAAAATTCCATTATAATAGCTTCTGCGTCAATCGAGGCATTTAACTTTTATCTCAAATCTTAGAATAGAATTTAGAAAGTCCTCGTCATAGGAATTGAGAGATAAAGTTAATTTCTCATCGATAATGTAAGTTTACGAATAAAAGTTACATTGGTGCACAATCGACTGTGTATTAAACGAGTTTGGCCTAAGATGCTGCAATTGCCTGAGGTTGATTCGATTTTTCAATTTCGAGAAAAAAAAACACCACTTCTTCTCCTTTTTTTCTTCTATAAATTTCGAATTTGAAAATTTTCTCGAAATTTTATTGGTGTTTTGAAAATTCGAAATTTAATTTTTAAAAAAAGTCTCATTGTTTCTAAAAAGGGAATTTCGTTTCTAAAATCAGAATTTGGAGAGAAATTTGAGAAAAAATTCGAGAAATAAATCAACCTCAGCATTCTTATTTGCCTCAGAGTATTGCGTAATAATTATACTGTTAACATTCTATTGAAAATTATGGTAAATTAAAAATTCAAATCTCCAATATCGACGAAAAAAAAATGAGAATTCGGTACGACATTGTAAACATTGTAAACAATTATTCGAGTTTAAACAAAAGAAAAAAAAAAGAAGAGTGTGATAAAGTGTAAACAATGCTGTGCTACATTTTGAGGCATCAGAAATGTGTTACGGAGCCGTGTCACATCGGTGCAATTATTAACTACGAAAGGCTACTTCAATAACCTTATAAGTGTCAATTCCAACTATCAACTTAATTCATAATTTTCAAAAATTGTAAAAAAAAGAAGAGAAAAAAAAACAAGAGAACAATTTAAATGATAGCATAAAAGTTCGCATGATATACCTCGGTTTTCATGTGACAAAGTGAGATTATTAATAAATTAAAATTTTAAAAAAAAAAGTTTACCAACTACACTGTAGTACGAGGAATGATGAGAATAAAAAATATATATATAAATACTTTTTATTATAGGTATTTCATAGAAGTTCATATAAAATAAAGATACTGTATCGATGATTAATATTACTAAATAAATCAACAATGTTTTCTGCTTAAAGTGCATTACGTTTCAATATTTCAAATTATTTTCATTTCTGTTGATTTAAAATCGTTTTTTGTTGTCAGAGAAAGAAAATCCGTATTTTCTCTAAGGAAAATAATTTTTTACTTTTTTTTTTACAAAAAGAGTTTCTTCACGAAGGAAATTTCTTTCTTAACGAAAAAGTAAAAAATACAACAATAGATTTTGAATAGACACTATTTCAGTAGATTATAAATAAAAATTTATTTAAAATATTTATTATCAAATTTACCGAATTTAGCTAAATTTACAATATTTATTATTATTAATTTAATACAATTAATAAAATTAATACAATTAATGAAATTAATACAATTTATAATACGAATGAAAATTATAATCGTTCGAATCAATGGGTTGAAAAGAAACGAAAATTTATTTAAAAATATAATCATTCGATAATTATGGACACGGATTATTAAAAATTATCGTAGAATTCAATAAAAAAAAATTGTAAATTAAAGAAAAATGTATTTTAAAAATACAGAAAACATTTGTACTTGACAAATATTAATGTTAATTAAATTTGCGTAAATGAGATGAAAAAAAAAGAAATTTCAGAAACTAGTTTCAGTTTCTAAAATTCTTATAAATAAATAATATTTACGGAATTTTTAGTCTAAGAAACATTTTTTTTTATTTTAATTTCTTCTGCGAGAGAGATGTCGTTCGAAGTCTAAATAATAATTAAAACAGAAAATAAAGTATAGTAGAATTATTTAGCAGACAAAAAAAAACTCGAAATTCAAAGTAACATAGAAAATCGAGAAAAAGCGATTGCACTATACTTGTAAATATTGAAAAACCAAGGCAGTGTTCTTTTAACGAATTCTAGACTAGAGTGCTAAAAATAAAAATTATATACGAATAATATAAATTAGTAGAAGCTTTTGTCTCGCTTAGCTAAAAAAGTGAAAGAAAAAAAAAAGTTCAGCGTTACTCTGTATCTTTCGATGTGATTTTCAAGAAAACCTTAAAAACCAATTTTCACGTTTTTTAACTATCCTCACCGGACACCTAGAAACAAAAAAAAGAGCACAAAAGAATTTAAGAAAAAAAAAAGGAAAATGCACTTACAAATAAATTTCAATTTGTCCATGTGCATGTTAGTTCTAAGAAATTTGGAGAATAGAACTCGAATTTTTTTATAGATTCAAAATAACAAAAAAAAAATCCATATCAGTGCACTGAAATAAAAATGAGAAATAGAGGAGCTTCCAAGTTTCGTGAATTTTTGAGACTGTAATTTGTGAAAGATTTGCATTTTTCCCTTTATTGAGGACTGCAATTATTAAAAATTCTCAAAATTTCATTTTTCGCACTTTTTTTCAAATTATTACCGATCACTGAAAATATTTGTACAAAAAAAAAAGATAATAATTATTTCCCCAAACAAATTATAATCATTGTCAAACAAAATATTTTTAAAAACGAATTTTTTCGAAAAGTTTTCTATTTTTTCCTTTTTCAATATTTGAGAATTTTTAAGAATCACACACTAACACTTTAAAAAAAATAATACTCGAAATTGCGAATGAATGAAATAGATTTTATTTAAAAACTTTTCATTTCATAAATTTATAAAAAAAAGAAAATTCAAAATTTGAAAAGAGTCGAAAGTTTTTCCGTTAAAAAAAAAAGTTTCTATAATACTTAGACACACACATTTTTTATGGCGAAAAACTTGAAAATTATTTTTTAAAAAAAAGGGACAATTGAAAAAATAGAGAGTGATATAAAAAGGTGAATTAAGAAAAAAAAAATTATACATAGCATTGTACTTTCTACTAGAAATGTAAATGGCTTTTTTATGGGACTGACGCAAATCTATTTAAAAGTCAATAATCAATATTAATCATTTTCAAAAAAAAAAAAAAATCGTTGAAGAAATGGAAAAGATTGAAGAGAATATTCATTCAATTTCAAAACTTGTAAATACACGTTCATTAATTTCTAGAACGACGTAGACAATAAATATGAGTGTTCTCTCTTTCTATGTAGCTTCTATTTAAATTTAAATTTAATTAAAATTTACATTAAAAAAAAAAAAGGAATACTCACCACAGTCCCATGATGAAGTCGACGAGTATCGTTGTTCTTAAAACGAAAAGAGTGTTTGAAAACTTAATAGAATGGGGATAAGTTTAAAAAATTGAGGCACTCTTCGTTTTGAGGGATCGATACGAAATTCCAGTGTTTATCTCATTTTAATCGAAGTACTGCTGTAAAATGTACATTTTAAGATTAGAAAAGTAAACTTCTAAACAATTTTCTTGGACCTTTTGATTCATTTTCAAACTCTTTTATTTCTTTTTATTTTTATTTATTTTCATTTATTTTTTTTTTAAATACGAATGAAGAATTCGACTTATACTTTTTAACCTTATGTATTTTCATTTTATTTTTATTCTTCGAATAAAAAATTTTAATTAGACGGTTTAAAAAATATTTTCAAATATTTTCAAATTCACCTTTTGGTGAATATTTGTCACAAGTAAATAAATATATTTTGCTTTTAGACATTTATTGGTTCAAGACTTACATATCTTTTAGAAGTCAAACTTTTACAATTCAACGAAAGTAAAATAAAATTAATAAATACAATAATGATCACAGCATTATAAACTATAAACTATACAAAACACAAACGTAAAAAGAATCAAAACATTTTCAAGAAATGCTATTTTGATTTTACACAATAATTAATCAAAGAAACTAATTTCTTGTCGCGCTTTTAATAATTCAGTTCTTGAAGGAAAAAAAAGAAGGTTTCAAGTTTCACATTTTCTGTGAGAAGAAAAAAATTAGTAAAAAGTGTCAAATAAATAGAATTAAATTTAAGAACTGAATCTAAAGTTTTTGTACATATTTGCAAAATCAGTCAGTTATTAAATAAATAAAATTTAACTATCAATGAACATTTTTAAAATCCGTCAAATGAAATGAAGGATAACGAATAAATAGTAATAATAATTAAACTAATTAATTTTACATTTTTTTTCCGAAAACAATAATTCTCTTTTTTTGGTGTTTTTTTTTAAATTCGACACGTAATAATTAAAAAATTGACTTCGAGAAAAAATATTGTTGTTTTTTTTCAAACCTTCAAATTACGTGGGACATAGATTGGAGTCTTTGATATCGGAGACAATTTCTGCTTTATGCAAGAGTTCCTTATCGAAATCACCATCATTCTCGATTTGTTCTGGTCCTTTAAGGGCGAATTTCGAAATAAACTCCTGCACATCCTCGACATCAACGTAAGACATACTCAGATGACAGCCCCAGGTCAACAAAACTAGCGGCTAAATGAGAAACATTAAAAATTAATGTACGAGGAAATTAAATAAAAGTTTATAAAAAGTAAAATAAATAATATTAAATTATTAACTATATTAATCTCCGTATTCTTCCATTCACTCATTTTTTTCTTTTGGAAAGAAAAACATTAAATATTCCCGTTTCTTAACATTTTTGTATAACATTCTCAATTTTCATAAGGAAATAATTTGCATCAATTCTATTTCTTAATTTTAATTGTTTTAATAAAAATTCACAGTTTTTTAAAAATAAAGGAAAAAAATGTTTATAAATTATATTTGTCAATTAGAAAATTTTATTGAAAATGGAACTGAAAATTTTTGAATTTTTCGAAAATAAAGGAAAAAATGTTATTGAAAAAAATGTTCTGTTAAATTTAATTATGAATATCTTTAATTGTAAAATTATTCGAAAACAACAATTTCTTTTTTGAATACTTTAAATATTTAAATATTTAAGTATTATTATTTTTAATAATTTAATTGTTGTGAAAAATTTTATTATTTATGAAAATAATTGATTTCTTGAGAAGAATTTTATTAACTAAATCTTGTAAAGAATTTTGTCAACATTTTTTTAAATAGTAGAATTTTTAAAAGAATTTTATTTAAATTTTTCGAAATAATTGAATTTTTTAGAACTATTTTTTTCAATTCTCTGAATATATTTGAATTCTTTCTAGAAACTTCATTAAAAAATTAAAAATAATTAAATTGGTGCGAATAGATTTATAAAAAATTGTCAATAATTGAATTCCTATGGAATTTTTATGAAAATTTTTGTTAAATAATTGAATTCTTTTGGAAAATTTTATTAAAATCGTAGATATTAAAAATAATTAAAATGAGGAAAATTTTTGAAAATAATTGAAATTTTGCCAAGAATTTTATTAAATTTTTGAAATAACTGAATTTTGAAGAAGAATTTTATTATTTTTAAATTATTTATAATTCTTTCGAGAAACTTCATTAAAAGATTAAAAATAATTAAATTGATGCGAATAGATTTATAAAAAAATTGGTAAGTAATTGAATTTAAATAATTGAATTTTTATATAATAATAAAACAAATAATAAATAATTGCATTTTAAATAATTGAATTCTTTTGACGAATTTTAATAAAATTTTTTAGAATAGTTACATTTTTCAAGGAATTCGATTAAAATTCTATTAAAAATAATTGAAATTCTGCGATGAGTTTTATTATTTCCGAAAATAATTGAATTATTGAGAAGAAACTTATAAAAAATTTGTAAATTTTTGAATTCCTGTGAAATTTTTTTTATTTATGAAAATAATTAAATGTTTGCGTACAATTTTATTAAAATTGTTTTTAAATAATTGAATTCTTTTGGGTATTTTTATTAAAATATTAGATATTGAAAATTATTAAAATGAGGAAATTTTTTGAAAATAATTGAAATTTTGAAGAAGAATTTTTTTATTTATAAAGATAATAATTGGGATTTTGTCCAGATTTTCTTGTAAATTTTGAACATAATTGAATTTTGTGATAAGAATTTTATTACTTTTGAAAATAATTGAATTTCTGCAATAATTTGTAACTTCTTCAAAATTCAATTTTTTTTAGTGTTTTTAACTAAAATTCTTCTATAAACCCATTATTTTTAATAATTTATTAAATATATATTTAAAAATTTAACTAATTTTAGAAGATTTTGAATTACTAAAATTTTTCAAAAATTCATAAAAATTTCTAATTAAATTCATTCAACCTTTAAAATGTTATAAAATTTTAAATTGAAACCGTTTGAAGTTCATTTATTTATGAAAATTGTAAACGCAACTCTTTTAAAATTGAATTAATTTTGAAATATTTAAGTAAAATTATTCATTAAATAATTTATTTATTTTATGATAGTTATTCAAGATTTAAGTTATTTAAAAATAAATTTTTGTCAGAAATTGAAAAAATTGAAGTTTTTGTATTAGAATTCGTGTTAATTTTATAGTTTACGAGTCAAACAAAAAAAACACAAAAATTCAGAATTTTCTTATGAATTCTAAAAATTAAATTTTTTTCACTACTTTTAATAAAAATTCCTGATTTTTCCTGAATTTCCTATGTCAGAATATATGATTATTATAATTATAATATTAAAACTATATATTCCAATTAATATTTTATTTTTATAAAAAAAAATTTGAATTAAAAATTTTTACGTTCTATTATTTTGAAAATTGATAATTTCATTTGAAAAAAGTGACTGAGAATCAGCTACGCGCAAATTGTTGTTAGTAAATAGTAAATAAAATTTCTTACCCTGTCAGTAGAGACAAAATTCGAAGGAGATATTATGTGTCGCCTAATGCAGCCAGTGACTAATTTTCTCAAGATTTCTACTTCTAAATGATTCGCACAGGGATGGTAGAGCATCACAACAGCTCCGTGCTGAAAAAAATGATCAGTTAGCAAAATATTTAAATAAAATTAATAAATAACGGATTTGTATTATTTTACCTCCAAACTGTGAAGCCACCTCTGCCTTGGTAGGAATTTATATTCACCATAAACCGGCCAAATTGGTCTGTGTGTGCCACTTGAAAAAAATACCAAACATTTATTTTTCAAAATTAAATATTATATTTTATTCTACATTTTTTATTTCCCTGAATTTTGTCAAATTTTCATGAAAAATATTTACTTTCATTCTTATATCATAATTTAAAAAATGATTTAATCAGTTAAATTTTGTAACAATTAATAATTTTATAAACGATAAAAACTTACTACAAAGGAAGATCTTCATCATACTCGATAACATCCGTCATGCATTTATGAATTGCCTATAAATTGTCACAATATTCATTAAAATCAAGAAAGCAGTGTAAGAAAATTATTTTTTTCCTTACCACATAGTTGTCTGGAATTTTTTCGCAATAAAATTTAGGATCTATGTTATAAGTAGGTTTGATCCTTCGATCGTAACAGGTGTAATCAGCTGGAGATTCATCCCAGTCAACTGTTAAATTTGTCTAGAATGATATTAAAAAAGTGAAAAATTTTTTTTTTAAAACATTCAGAACTTCAGCAAAAAAAAATACGTAAAGAGTATTTTTAAAATTGACAAAAGTAAAACAAACCTTTCCATCATCACACAAGGGAGATTTTTCACCCATGGGAATCATGCCCGATGGATGTGGATGTGGTAAAGCATTTTTCGGTTCAAATACTGGAGGAATCTTTGGAGGAGGCGTTGGATCTGAAGGTCTACTAGGAAACCAACGACCTAGCCATTCATCATCTTTTTCTGGTTGCTTGTCTCTCTCAAGCTCTAAAGAGAATTTTTTTCAATTTTGAAACATTCATTAGAAAATTAATTAAATTAATTAATAAATTAATGAAATTACTAGTTTCCTACCTGGTGGATTTACTTCCAAGTGATCGTGAGGTTGGAATATAGGAGGAATCTTCGGAGGAGGTGTTGGATCTGAAAGTCTACTGGGAAACCAGCGTCCTAGCCAATCCTCATCTTTTCCGGGTTGCTTGTGTCTTTCAAGCTCTATAGAAAAAGTTTTTCATTATTGAAACGTACAGTAACTAATATATTAAATAACAATTAAATAAAATTACTACAGGGTTGCTACAAAAATTTAATTTTGTTTTTCCTTGACTTTTCCCTCATTTCCAGACAAAATTTATACTTTTTCTCTGACCCTTAAGAATATTCTGATTCACTCCAAAAATTATTAGATACTCAAAAATATGTTCTATTACATTTATTTACGAATTTCTTTAATTGGAAAATTGTTCCAAAACATCAATAACTTCTTTTTTAAATAAATATTTAATCATTATTATAATTTAAAATTTTAAGTGAAATTCATTTTTTAATCAATATTTATTAGAAAATTTCAAATTCAATTATTTAAATACAAAAATAAATAATTTGTTAAATAAATGAATATTTTTTAAAATTGAATTTTTATGAAGAATTTTATCAAAATTTTTGAATTCTTTCGGCGAATTTAAAAAAAAAATTAATAATAAATGCAATTTTATATCATTTTATTTAAGATTGTATAAAAAATAATTGAAATTCTACGATAAGTTTTGTTATTTATGAAAATAATTGAATTCTTGCAACGAATTTTATTACAAATTTTTTTAAAGAATTTAATTCAAATTTTTATTCAAATCTTTTTAAATAATCTGACCAAGAAATTTATTAAATTTCATTTTTCTTAAATTTATGTAAAAAATGTTATTTTTGAAAAAAAATTAAATTCTTGTGAAGAATTTTATTTAAATTTCTTAAACAATTGAACTGCTTCCAAGTATTTTATTTTTTACGAAAATAATTGAATTGTTTCGAAGATTTTTAAAAATTGTATTCCTAGGAAGAATGTTATATTTTACAAAAATAATTGTATTAATCAATTTTATTATAATTTTTTTAATTTATAAAGCATTTTATTAAAATTTCTTAAAATAATTGAATTCTCGAGAAAAATTCTATTATTTATGAAAATAATTGATTTCTTGAGAAGAATTTTATTAACTAAATCTTGTAAAGAATTTCGTCAACATTTTATTAAATAATAGAATTTTTAAAAGAATTTCATTTAAATTTTTCAAAATAGTTGAATTTCTTAGAACAATTTTTTTTAATTCTCCGAATATATTTGAATTCTCTCGAGAAACTAGATTAAAAATTTAAAAATAATTGAATTGGTGCGAAAAAATTTATAAAAAAATTGGTGAGTAATTGAATTCCTGTGGAATTTTTATTACAATTTTGTTTTATTAATTAAATTCTTTTGGAAAATTTTATTAAAATCGTGGATATTAAAAATAATTGAAATGAGGAAATTTTTTGAAAATAATTAAAATTTTGACAAGAATTTCATTACATTTTTTGAAATAAATGTATTTTGAAGAAGAATTTTATTATTTATAATGATAATTTAAATTTGGACGAGAATTTTTTTAAACTTTTTGAAAATAATTAAATTCCATCGAGAAATTTAATTAAAAAATTGAATATAATTCAAATCTGACGAAGAATTTTATTAAATTTCATTTTTTTTAAATTTATGTAAAAAAGTTTATTTTTAAAAAAAATTAAATTCTTGTAAAGATTTTTATTCAAATGTCTTAAATAATTGAACTGCTTCGAAGAATTTTATTTTTTACGAAAATAATTGAATTGTTTCGAAGATTTTTATAAATATTTTTGCCAATAATTGTATTCCTAGGAAGAATGTTATATTTTACAAAAATAATTGTATTGATCAATTTTATTATAATTTTTTAAATTTATAAAGCACTTTATCAAAATTTCTTAAAATAATTGAATTCTCGAGAACAATTTTATTACTTATGAAAATAATTGATTTCTTGAGAAGAATTTTATTAACTAAATCTTGCAAAGAATCTTGTCAAAATTTTTCTAAATAATATAGTTTTTAAAAGAATTTTATTTAAATTTTTCGAAGTAATTGAATTTTTCAGAACTGTTTTTTCCAATTCTCTGAATATAATTGAATTCTTTTGAGAAACTTCATTAAAAAATTAAAGATAATTGAATTCGTGCGAAGAAATTATTAAAAAAAAATTGTTAAGTAATTGAATTCCTGTGGAATTTTTATTAAAATTTCGTTTAAATAATAAAAATCTATTGGAAAATTTTATTAAAATCGTAGATATTAAAAATAATTGAAATGAGGAAAATTTATGACAATAATTGAAATTTAAATTTAACTGAATTTCGGAGAAGAATTTTATTATTTATAAAGATAATTTAAATTTTGACTAGAATTTTTAAACATTTTTGAAAATAATTGAATTTATGCGAAGAAGTTTATCATTTTTGAAAATAATTGAATTTCTGTAATCAATTGTTCTTAAAATTTCTATTTAAATTCATTAAAAATTGATATTTACTAAAATTTTAATTTGAAACCTGTCAAGTTCATCTATTTATGAAGATTGTAAACGCAACTCTTTTGAAATCCAATTAATTTTGAAATTTTTAAGTAAAATTATTCTTTACATAATTTATAAGTAATAATTTTATGATTTCTTTAGAAGAATTAAGTTATTTAAAAAGAAATTAGTGTCAGAAATAGAAAAAAGTGAAGGTTTTGTATTAGAATTCGTGGCATTTTCATAGTTTATGAGGCAAACAAAAAAGAATTTTCTACCTGGTGAATTTATATCCAAGTGACCGTGAGGCTGAAACTTAGAAAGAATCTTTGGAGGAGGCGTTGGATCGGAAAATCTGCCAGGAAACCAACGACCTCGCCACTCGTCATCGCCTCCTAATTCCCTGTATTCTCGATTTCTATTTATATAATTTTTCAATAAATGTAATATATCCTCTGGTTCATCAACATCTGAAATATATCAATTTATAAAATAAATATCTGTTTATCTAAATTTCTTTTATCTTTCATCTAAAATCAAGAAAAAAATCTTTCAATTTAATAAAGAAAAAGTTATCACTTATGAAACAAATACGTAACAATACATTTAAGAATATAAATTATTATGTTTCATTACTTAAAATCACAAACATATGTGATGAAAAAAAGATAAAAATATGCGTAAATAAATATCTGAGTTAGGTTATGTCTAGAAATTACAAGTTTTTTATAAAAATGTTACCTGTAGGTTCATAGTCCTCATAAAATTCTGCTTTAAGTCCAATAATTAAAATATTTATCAATAAAAAATAGTTTCTTAGTTGATTTAACATGTTTTACTTATATATTGATTTTGTTCTTGTGTTATCAGGTGGAGGTTTTGGTTTATTATAAAGAATTGTAAAGAATAAAAGCAACTAATCAATATTCCTTCTGACGTTTTGACATTTGACAGATTTAGAATGAAGTTAGTCACAGGTGCAAAGTAAACAAGTCGCGTGATTGGCCAAAAAGGTTCAAAGTTGGACAAATTTGGATTTGAATAAAAAATAAAAAGTACTGTAAAAATTTGATGATAAATTCATAACAAAATATTAACGATATGTTAACATTCTAAAAAGAATAATTATAAATTATAATCGTTTCAGGTTAAAAATCATTGTCTTTTACAAATACAGTTTTAACAAAGTGAACAAAGGGAACAAAGTTTAGAGTGAAGTTACTCACAAAGATTTGAAACATATCTGAATTCTAATTGGTTCAATACCAAAACAAAAAAAAATGACAAAGAGTTTGAATGAATTGAGGTTATGTTTATGTTGTTACCGTTTTGTTATTACACGGAAAATGACGCGGTGAAAATATTTATCAATATTAATGGATACCAATGGATCAAACAGACCAAGTTTGTACAATTATCCATAGTAGAATATCTGTGAATTCGACATTAAATACAGTGTATTATTATTAATTCACTATAATTATAGTAAATGCTTTGACAGTTCCTGACCATGTCAGCGTCTCTTTAAATTTCTGTTTTTTTTTCTTAAATTCATTTATATTTCATGTAGTATTCACATTCATTTATGTAGTATTTTTTTATTTTTAGCATTTACTTTATTTATTAACAGAAAATTAAAATGATTTTCCTCTCTTAGACTGATTTTAGTGATTTACAAAAGGAGGAACGCTATCAGAATCTGGCGAAAAGTTTGAAAGTAACTCGTTTAAAAACAAATGCAAAATCACAATTAATTCCATGGTCGAGTTGTTCCAGTATAAACGGTGATCCGTCAGATGCGAATTATACATTAGCTTCACAATTCTCAAAGACTGGCAGTGAAATTATCACATCGTCACGAAATTTAAAAAATCTCATTCATAAACGATCGTGTTATTCACCAATGGCAACGTCAAGTGTCAAGAGATTTTGTGTAAACGAAAAAAATTCAAATGATAAAGAAATTATGCCGCCTCCAAGTTCTTATGGAATTCGAACACCTCTTAAGAGAACTGCTTCCGCGGATCCTCCACAGGAACGAAGTAAATTCTCCCGTCAATCTACACATGATAACAATCATTTTTCTGAAGAAAAACAAACAACGCACTTTGATTTAAATTCGAGTAAAGATTTCTCAGAAGGTCACGTCGGTGGTGCTTCTGATTCACAAAGGGAGAAAAACAGCGATCGACATTTTCATCGATGGAGAGTTTTTCTCAATGATCGGGGAGAATTATTGATTAAAGGATTACTGAACAAGTGAGTGAATTTAAATTTTTAATTGTGGTCAGTGAATTACAATAAAAGTAATTCAAATAAAATAATATAATTCATTATTTTCAGTGAAATATGGGCTCGCAGTAAACCAGTTGCAGAAATGCTGTCACCGACAAAATTGAAATCGAAATATCAGCACACGTACTATCTTCACGGGAATATAATCGATGAAAAGAATGGTAATTTTTTGTATTTTCTTTATACAATTTGAAATTATCATAATTTTTGAACAATTAACAATTTTCTAATATTTTTTTTAATAATTATTTTCAATACGATTACTACAATACAATATAAATATTATCTTCAAAAAATTCAATTATTTCATAAATAATAAAATTCTTCGCGAGAATTCAATTACTTTTCAAACAATTTTAATAAAATTTCTCGAAAGAATTCAATTATTTTCAAAATTTTTATAAAATTCCTCGAAACAATTCAATTATTTTCAACAATGTTGATAAAATTTTTTTTAAAAAATAATTATTTTCAAAATTTTGAATAAATAAGAAAATTCTTCGCAAGAATTAAAATATTTTCATAAATAATAAAATTATTCATTCAATTATTTTTATAAATAATAAAATTATTCATTCAATTATTTTTATAAATAATAAAATTATTCATTCAATTATTTTTATAAATAATAAAATGTTTCGTAGAAATTCAATTATTTTCAATACAATTTTAATACAATTTCTCAAAAGAATACAATTATTTAAAAATATATTAATTAAATTCAATTATTTTCAACAATTCTGATAAAATTCTTCGAAACAAATCTATTATTTTTCTAAATTGTAAAATTCTTGTCAAGAATTCAATTATTGTCAATACAATTTTAATAAAATTTCTAGGAAAAAATTCAATTATATTCAAGATAATTTTAATAAAATGTCTCTAACAGTTTCAATTACTTTTAAAAATTGTAACATAATTTTTCTAAGCAATTGAATTGTTCTCAAAAGTTTTTAATAAAATTCTTTGCAAATTTCAATTATTTTCATAAATAATAAAATGTTTCGGATAAATTCAATTACTTTCAATATAATTGTAATAAAATTTCTGTAAAGAATACAATTATTTTTAAAAATATTATTTGAATTTAATTATTTTCTAGAGTTTTACTAAAAATTCAATTATTTTCAACAATTCTGATAAATTTCTTCGAAACAATTCAATTTTTATATGAATTGAAAAATTTTTGTCAAGAATTCAATTAGTTTTCTGAATAATAAAATTCTTCTGAGAAATTCAATTATTTTCAATGCAATTTTAATAAAATTTCTCGAAAGCATAAAATTATTTTTTAAAATATTAATTAAATGCGATTATTTTCAAGAATTTTTAAATAAATTCAATTATTTTCAACAATTTTGATAAAATTCTTTTTAAAAAATCATTATTTTCAAAATTTTGAATAAAATTCCTTCAAAAAATTAAATTATTTTCAAAAATTCAGATAAAATTCATCAAAATAATCCAATTATTTTTATAAAATGTAAAATCCTCCACAAGAATTTAATTATTTTCAATACAATTTTAATAAAATTTCTCTAAAGAATACAATTATTAAAAAAATATTATCTAAATTCAATTAATTTCAATAATTCTGATAAAATTCTTCGAAACAATTCAATTATTTTTGTAAATAATAAAATTCTTCTGAGAAATTCAATTATTTTCAATACAATTTTAATAAAATTTCTCTAACAGGTTCAATTAGTTTTAAAAATTGTAATAAAATTTTTCTAAACAATTCAATTGTTAAGTTTTTAATAAAATTCTTTGTAAATTTCAATTATTTTCAAAATTTTCAATTAAAATTATTTTAAAAAATGACATTTTTACGAAAGTTAATGAAATTCTTTTAAAAAATGTAATTATTTACATAATGTAATTATTTTTTAATTGTTTAAAAGAATTTAATTTTCTATGAATTTTTGCATAATTTAATAAAATAAGTGGATTCTTGAGAAGAATTTTATTAAAATTGTATTTAAAGTAATTGAATTCCTGTGAAAAATTTACTATTTATCTATATTATAGAATTCTTTCGAAGAATTTAAAAAAATGTTTAAAAATAATTTACTTTTCCCTGAAATTCAATTAAAATTGTATTTAAAATAATTGTATTTCAGCGGAAATTTTTATTATTTATGAAAATAATTGAATTCTTGAATTGAATTTTCTTAAATTTTTTTTTAAATAATTGAACTCTAGGGAAAAATTTAATTATTTTTTAAAATAATTGAATTTTCTCGGAAAATTTTTACATTTTTTTTTGCCATCATTGAAATTTTCGATGAAATCAATTAAAATTGTATTGGAAATAAGTGAAATCCTGATAAGAATTTTATTATTTATAAAAAAAATAATTTAATTTTTTCACGAAGATTTTTATTATTTATAAATTGACTTTTTGCAAATAATTTTATTACAATTATTGAAAATACTTGAATTCTTCATAGAAATCTATTAATTTCAAAATTTTCATTAAAAATTATTTTTAAAAAACTTTACTATTTTCAAGAATATTGATATAAATTCTTAAAAACAATTCAAATATTATAAAGAATTTTAATACAAATCTTGACAAGAATTAAATTATTTTCAATACAATTGTAATTATACATTTTCTCGAAAGAATTTAATTATTGAAAAAAATGTTAATAAATGTCTTTGATGGAATTCTATTATTATTAAATTTTTTGATAAATTTCTTTGCAAGAATTCAATGATTTTCAGTACATTAATTTAAAAATTGATAACATTTAAAAAGGAAAATTATTTAAAAAGTTGGGAAACAAAAGAGCAAACAGCAACTAACTTCAAATTGCGAATAGATTGCGCCGGAATACAGCGATTATAATATAGAAAATTTAGATATATAGATTCTTTCAAAACAAAAGATAAAAACGATTTTAAATACCTGATTTTCTTTTCTTTTTCAGAATTACCAAAATATATTTACCAGAAATTCTATAATGGATTTCCCGACGATTGGCGAAATGTTCATGTAATATGGAAAAAGTTCGTCGCTCAGGGATGCGGTGAAAATTTTCGCTGGCCAATGGACGTTAATTACAGTGATGATGATCTAAACAGTGAAATAACAGATATTACTCATATGCAAAAAACAGAAAAGAAATTCCAAGAATTGAGTTCCATGGAGAAATCGACACCTCAACGATCATCTGGTTACAGTTCTGATTTTCCGCATGAAAGAGAAACAACAAAAACTATCGATAAAGCCCGAAAAAATCAATCAATGGGAAATAATTTTACAGTAATTACCGAAGAATTCAGCGAAAAAGAAAATAGAAGTCCACACGAATCTCGAAATCAGACAAATATGACTATGGATACTTCATGTTCGGGAAAATTATACACAGCACTACATTACGCTCTAAGTTTAAAAGATATTATTTTCGAAAATAAACTCACATTCATAACACAAAATTTACTGCATGAAAAATGTCCCAAGGAATACGTTCAATGTGTGAGTAGAACAATTAGAGATTTGAATAATATTCTTTCCGTTAAAATTGGCGATCAAGATGAAAATACCTTAAAAAAGTTCATGGACAATCTTCGCACGAAAGATTCAGAAAATTTTACTCCAGCTTCTTCTTTAGCACAAGACGACGATTATACATCCAGAATTGATGAATGCGAGGCAAATAGTGAAAAACTCACAAAAAATAATTCTAACGATATTAATGAGAAATTGATGAGACAAATTATAACCGATAAAATAGTACAAGAAAATGATACTGAAGGATTGAGCAAAAATAAAAATAAAGAGTATGCATTAAATTCCAATATCGAGAAGAATTTAAATTTAAATTTTAATGCTAAAACAAAAACCCAAGAAACAGATTCCGAAAGTGAAATATATGCCGGTGTGCCTAAAATATCGGAGAAAATATTACAATCGAAAATTTATCACAAACGACAGAGAAGAATTGACACTAACGGAAAAAGTAGAATACGAAGCACTAATAAAGAATCTAAAAATGATTTACACTACGATTCAAGTGTTAGTATTCTCGAGGATGAATTTCATAAAAATACCACAGATAACGAGAGGATTGTACGAGTAGATTCGAAGAATTTGAAGACCACTGGAAATCATTCAAAAGTCGATGATTTCATAAAAGAAAGAAGAGCTGATCCACTAAGAGAAAATCACGTTATTGATAATAATAAAAGTTCCAGTAAAATTCCCCTTTTCTCCAAATTGCCAAATACAAATAACGATAATAAAAAATTAATCGTCAATAAGGAAAATATAGAAGACGATAATGATACTTTTCAACGAAGAGAGGACTATTCAGATTCTACGCAACGTAAGGAAATACAAAATCAAAAACCAATAATTACAAATACGGAAAATGTGAATTTTCATAATTTTAAAAAACCTCAAAATCCAACAATTGAACAAAATCCACATGTTTTGAAACAATCTCAAGTTAGACAGAATCAAGAAGAGAAAATTGGGGAAATTGGTAAAAATTCATCTCAAGATACTTTTGGTTCTGTGGAGAATCCGAAAATTTTGACAAATTGGATACCACTCGTTACATTCGTTGGTAATAAGTGTCAACTCGTTTTTGAAGGAACTTTGTTGAAGTAAGATAATTATTATTATAAAAATAATTTATTTATAAATTACATTAAAATTACAAAATTTTATAATAAACAAATTCTTTCAGCTCGGTTGGTCAATTGATGAAAAAGAAATTAACTACAAGTCAAGTTGTAAAACGAATTTCTACTTCCACGATCGAGACATCAGATCATCAATTTTATAAACTACTTGGGGAGATTAGTGTCAAAAAACATGGTAAGGAAAAGATTTAGAAAATTAATAAAATTCGTTACAAGAATTCAATTATTTTCATAAAAAATAACAAAACTTATCGTAAAATTTAAATTATTTTTGATACAATTTTAAATAAAATCATAGAAAATTGCATTTATTCTTAAATTTTGTTTTAAATTCGCTGAAAGAATTAAATAATTTTTAAAATTTTTGATAAAATTCTTCATAAAAATTGAATTTTAAGAAATATTCAATTATTTAAAAAATTATTTATTTTTGTATTTAAATAATTTAATTCTCGTAAAATTTTCTAATAAAAATTGATTAAAAAATGAATTTCACTTAAAATTTAAAATTATAATAATTATTAAATATTTATTTAAAAAATAAGTTATTGATGTTTTGGAATAATTCTACAATTAAACAAATTCGTAAATAAATGTAATAGAACATATTTTTGAGTATCTAATAATTTTTTGAGTGAATCAGGAGATTCTTAAGGGACAGGGAAAAAGTTTAAATTTTGTCTGAAAATCAGGGAAAAGTCAGGAAAGAACAAAATTAAATTTTTATAGCAACCCTGTAATAATTGTTTCTTTTTTCCAGTTGTGCCCAAGGAACTTTTGCCTCATTGCAGAACTGGATGCCCAGTGAACATTGATCAATTTTGTTCGTCGTGGTTAAAATTGAGAGGAGGTATAATTTAGAAAGAATTGCTTTTAAGTAGCAAATGTTACGCATGTTAGCGTCAGAAATTCGATATTCAATTTATAATTATTATTATTATTATTATTATGCAACTTACAAATTTTTTGAATTTTAAATATTTCAATTTTTGAATTAAATTTCAAAAATTAAGAAAAAAATTAGTTAAAAAAAATTAAAAACGATTTAAAATTAAAAAAAAAAATTATTAACTAATTTACTGTTTAATTATTATTTTCATAAATAATAAAATTTTTCGAAACGATTCAGTTATTTTTATAAATTGTGAAAATCTTTGCAAGAATTAAACTTTTTTGTAAATAATAAAATTTTCATTGAAATTCAATTTATTATTTAAAATTATCATGAAATTTAAAAAAAAACATTATTTAACAATTTTTTTTTAAATTCTTCGGAAAAAATCAATAATTTTCACATATAATAACATTTTTCACGATAATTTAATTATTTAAAAAAGTTTGAATAAAATTCTTCGTAAATATATAATTAATTTCATAAATAATAAAATTCTTATCAAGATTTCAATTTTTTTTTAAATTTAAATAAATTCTTAGGAACAATTCAATTATTTTTATAAACAGTAGAATTCATGACTGGAACTCAATTGTTTTCAATACAATTTTAATAAAATTCTTCGAAACGATTGAATTATTTTTATACATTGTGAAAATTTTCGCAAGAATTAACCTTTTTTTTATAAATAATAAAAATTCTTCGTGAAATTCAATTATTTTCAATCAAAATTATTTAAAAAAAATTGCATGATTTTTAAAATACTTGAAATTTTTCAAAAAATTTAATATTTACGAAAAGCAATAAAATTGTTCAAAAGAATTTAATTTACTATCAATAATTATTAATAATATTTAATAATAGAATTATTAATTACAATTATTGACACAACCGATTATTTTAAAAGATTGAAAGAAAGTTTTCATAAAATTCAATTACTTTCAAAATTTTCAATTAAAATTATTTAAAAAAACTATTATTTTAAAAAAAGTCAATGAAATTCGTCACGAGATTTTAATTATATTCAATACAATTCTAATCAAATTTCTCGTAAATTTTTAAAAGAATCCAATTATTTTTATAAACAATAAAATTCGTCGCAAAAATTCAATTATTTTCAAAACTTTGATAAAACTCTTTAAAACAATTCAATTATTTTTATAAGTTGTCAAAATTCTTCGCAAGAATTAAATTTTTTTATAAATAATAAAATTCCTTTCAGGAATTCAATTATTTTCAATACAATTTTAATAAAATTTTTCAAAAGAATTCGATTATTTTGAAAACTTTCATGAAATTCTTCGAAACAATTCAATTATTTTTATAAATTGTGAAAGTCTTCATAAAAATTAAATTTATTTTTTAAATAACAAAATTTTTCTCAGGAATTCAATTATTTTAAGAAAAAAATTTTTTTTGCGAACAGATTATCGTAATACATCGATTATTAATATAAGAGAAGATTAGTTTTTTTTATATTTAATTAATAATAATCGATTATTGTTAATTTCAGAAAATAATTTAGTCACGGAACGTGCACAAAACTCTGACGATGAAAAAAAATATGTTCCAATCAGTTCTCGTGGCAGGAATATTCGATCTCCTATGAAATATTGGTCAGGTAAAAATATTTCTTCATTCTTATTTAAAAATCTTTAAAATTATATCTAAATTATTATTAAAAAAAATTATTTAATTATTATTAAATACAAAATTATTATTAATTATTATTAATTAATTATTATTATTATTATTATTAATTAATATTATTATTATTATTATTTTATTATTATTAATTAATTATTATTATTAATTATTATTTAATTATTATTATTATTATTATTATTATTAATTATTATTATTATTTAATTATTTTCCTTTAAAAAAACAGGTGAGCGTAATTGCATGAAAGATGGAGATATCGTTTACGTGTCGGGTGATCCAAAGGAAAAATTTGTGACTTCCACAAATGATAGTCCACAAAAAAATCGGGTGAGTTAAAAAAAAAATTGCAAAATATTAAATTTTTAATTAAATTTTTAATTTAATTAAAAAATTTTTTATATTTAATAATAAAATTTAAATTTAAAATTTAAATTATTAATAAATACAAAAAAATTTTTAATTTATTATTTATATTTTTAAAATTATTTTCCAATAAATAATAAAGTTGAGAACTAATTTAATTTTTTTGTTTTTTTTTTGTTTTCTAAATTTGGAAATAATTGAAATTGCAAGTGTAGAGGTCATCGGAACATGTAACCACTAATGAAACAGCCAAGGGTGTTTTGCATTCGACAGAGAGACGTCACGCTAAAAATAAAGTCGCTCAAAAATTAAAATTTGTCTCAAGCGAAAGCGAAGAAGAACAAAAAGACAAAGACAATGTACGTTGATTATGTAAAAATCAATATGTTTGCCATTCTTTTTCATTATTTTTCTGTTTTTATTCTCGAAAAATAAAAATATCTTAATAGAAAGTTGATTTAAAAGAAAACTTCAAAATAAGGAAAAATTTAAGAACTTCGAAAAATTAAAAATAGGGAAAATAAATTAAAACAAAAAAGACGATATTTTCTTTATAAATATCTATTCAATTATTATTATTAGACAAAAAATAATATAATTTTTAATCAAAATTCCAACTAAAAGAAAATAATTGAATAAAATATTTCTTATTAATTAAAAATCATAATTACGATTATATCATTTACAGAACAAGCATAAATCTCATTTCTATGCATTCAGGAAAAGACAAAAAATTTCTTATCAGGATTATGACGACGATGAAAATTATCCCATCATTCAAAAGGGAACAGAAAAACCGAAACAAATGTAAGTTTACAGAAAAAATACAAATTTTGAAAAAAATTGAATATTATGTTTATATCTAAAATTATGTTCATTTAAAAGTATATTTTTCTATCTATCAACAATTTTAATTTAAAAAAAAAATCTTTTGTTACATGAATCAAAGGCAAAGAGGAAGAAATTCTGGACCTATGATTCATTTGACTTATGAGAAAAAAACTGGAAAAGAAGATATAACATTATCAGATGATCAAATTTCGGTTATTTGAAAATTTTTTGCAATTTTGATTAATTAAATTTGTAAATACAAAATAATAATGATTACAATTAACATTTTTTTAAGTGTTGATTATTTAATTAAGTTTTCGTAAATATATTATAAATATGTGTATATTCGTTTAATTATAAGGAATGTTTAAAGAAAATTAAATAACGTACAACGTATAAAATTTATTTCTGTAATTTTTGTTTATAATAAAATGTTAAAGAAATAATAAAGATATTTTTGTCTGCAAAACTACTTTAGTAATTTTTCAAAAACTATATTAATTATTAGTAAGTATTATTAATGAAATTTATGAAATAGAATAAATTTAATTACGATAAAAGATATTCTAAAATCGAAAGGTTTCGAAAAAACCAAAGAAATTTGTTAAAGGGTTTTGAATATATTTATTATAATATATGAATGCAATACATAAAATGTATTTCACCGTTTAGCCATTGTAAAAAATATATGAGAAGAGCACATTTTTATTAAAGATTTTAGAAAAAAAAAACAAATCGTAATATCCAATAAAATATTTCCTTATTCAGCTGTAATTAAAAATTAAACAGCGATTATAACAAAAATATCAATTACACATAAAATCCGATTTTGTGATGTATTAAAATTCTGAGATCAATGAAAATGTATAAAAAGACATTTGACATGTATATAAGTAAATTTGCTTTTTTGTCGCGAGACTTTGAATAAAAGACTAGATTTTATCGATTCCAGTTGAAAAAAATGAAGTAGAAAAAAAATTCAACACAAAAAATCGCCTAAAGAAAATATGATTAATAATCAAATTTTGTTAATTTCTGAATTTTCCCTCAATATAATTGTAAAAACAAAATTTTGTATATAAACCTATATACAATTGATTATCTAGAACAGCATTTTTACAAATATTTCTGGATTCTGTTTCTAAAAATTTTTCAAAATTGCAATCTTAATGTCTTCTTCTTTTTTTTTTTGCTTCAAGAAACATTTGTAAATTATGTGTCATCTAATTAACATATTTTATAATATAATCGATTATGCATTATGTGTGAAAAAAAATTATATTACAACAATTTTGCACTAAATGTTATTGAACATTCGTCAATAATAAAAAAAATTCTGAGAATTGTCTTATCTCAAAAGCAAGAGAAAAAGAAATTCGGATAAAAATTGATTAAAATTTCCACAACAAAAACAAGTACAATAAAAATTTTCAAAATTCATTTGTTTCCAAATTTCAATATTAGAAAAAATAAATAATTTCAACAAAACAAAAATGACTAGATTTAATTGCCAACAACAATAAAATTATTTTGTTTTCTTTAAAATAATTCTTTTACATAAAAATTTATATGTAAACTGTAAAAGATTTAAAAACGAGAGAACTATATCTCTTGGTAATAAATAAGTATAATCTTAACTCTTTGATTAAAAAATTAACTAAATAAGTTAATTTGCAATAGCCTGTGACGGAAAGAAGAAACAAACTTCTTTCTTTCGTTCTTTAAAGAACTTCTTTTGGATTTTGTCACAAATGTTAAAAAATGAAATTTTCACTTTTTTGACAAATAAATTTGTTACGAATATTAAATAATAAAAAATTATTTTTAGTTGAAAAAAGGTCCACAGGCCTCGGATCGACTTTTATATTGTATTGTAGTGATTTTCCCTTTTCACTGTTTTCAAAATTCAATTATTCAAAACTTAAATAATTTTGTTAAATAAATATTTTAAAATGTTTCTTATTTGTTTTTCCACGGGAAATAAAATTTAAAAAATTTCAATTCAAAACGTTCTGAAATTAAATAATTTCTAAAAATTACAACTATTTCATAATTCAATTGTTTTCTACAATTTTAAACTAAAATTCATCTCTAAATCAATTATTTTTAATAATTTTCCGAAAACTCTTCGAAAATTCAATTATTTTTGCAAGATTTGCAATTAAATTTCTGCAAAAGTTGATTTTTAATAATTAGTAGTATTTTATTACAATTTTTGAACATCAACTTTCGAAGAATTTTAATTCCTCAACTTTTAAAAATAATTGAATTATCAAAAACTTTTCTTCGAAATATTGTAATAAAATATCTAAATAAGTTTTCGAAATATTAAATTAAAAATATTTTCAATAATTTAATTAATTCAATTAATTAAATTTAAATTAATTTAAATCAATTTCAATTAAATTAAAAATTTTTTAAATTGAATATTTCGAAAATTTATTTAGATATTTTATTGCAATATTTCGAAGAAATGTTTTTGTTAATTCAATTATTATCAAAATTTAAGGAATTTAAATTCTTCGAAAGTTGATTTTCAAAGATTGTAATAAAATACTAATAATTATTCAAAATCTTTTTAATTCTATATTTCGAGAATTTAATTAAAAAAAATTATACAAAAATAATTTTCGAAAGATTTGTGTAATAGTTATTTTTCTTACAATAAAAATCTGAAAAAGTTACAAATTATACAAAAATTTAGTATTTTATTGCAACATTTGGAAGAAAAGTTTTTGAGAATTCCATTATTTTCAAAATTTTAGGAATTAAAATTCTTTGAAAGTTGATTTTCAAAAATTGTAATAAAACATTTGAAAAAGTCAATTATTTTCAATTAAATTTTACAAAATTTCAATTATTGAAAATCTTTTTAATTGAATATTTCGAAAATTTAGTTGGAAAAATTATTCAAAAATAATTTTCAAAAGATTGGTCCAATATTTATTTTTCTTACTATAAAAATCGAAAAAATTGCAAATTATACCAAAAATTTGGTACTTTGTTGCAATATTTGGAAGAAAATTTTTTAAGAATTTAGTTATTTTCAAAATTTGAGGAATTAAAATTTATCAAAAGTTGATTGCAAAAAATCAATTAATTTCCAATAAATTTTACAAAATTTCAATTAATAAAAATCTTTCTAAATGAATATTTCGAATTTTTTATACTGTAAAAATCGAAATAAGTTGCAATTTATACTAAAAATTAGTTATTTTGTTGCAATATTTGGAAGAAAAGTTTTTGAGTATTCAATTATTTTCAAAATTTAAGCAATTAAATTTCTTCCAAATTTATTTTTAAAAATTGTAATAAAATACTTGAAAAAAAAATCAATTTCAATTAAATTGTACAACATTTCAATTAATCAAAATCGTTTAAATTGAATATTTCGAAAATTCAATTAGAAAAATTATTTAAAAATAATTTTTGAAAGATTTATCCAATATTTAGTTTTCTTACTATAAAAATCGAAAAAATTGCAAATTATACCAAGAATTTGGTACTTTGTTGCAATATTCGTAAGAAAAGTTTTTGAGAATTCAATTATTTTCAAAATTTGAGGAATTAAAATTCTTCGAAAGTTGATTTTCAAAAGTTGTAATAAAATACTTGAAAAAAATCAATTTCAATTAATCAAAATCTTTTAAATTGAATATTTGGAACATTCAGTTAGAAAAATTATTCAAAAATAATTTTCGAAAGATTTGTCTACAGTTATTTTTCATACTGTAAAAATCGAAAAATTTTGCAAATTATACCAAAAATTTGGTATTTTGTTGCAATATTTGGAAGAAAAGTCGAAAAGTCGCAATTTTGGGGAAATATATCGAAAAAAGTCGCTCTTTTTGAAAATGGTTGGAAAAAGAATCTAAAAAGTCATAATATCCGAGGCCTGGTACTAAAAAATCTTTTTGTTAAAGACTATTAACAGAAAAACCTCGCCAATCAAGTTGGTACCTTAAAGAACTTGAGAAAAAGCCTCTTAAAAAACTTCTTTTTCCCTCGCTTTTTTTGTTCAAGCAATTCTGTTATAATATTTAGAGTACCGAAAGGCAAAAAATTTTCTCTATTTTGTTTGATTAAACAACGCCTAAACTATAAAGAACGATATAATATGAAAGAACGATGTTGTTAGCTTTCGTCGTAAAGTGGCGTTCCATCGCCACTCAATGACATACTCCTCGGACTAGAATTCGTGAACGGAGTACTGTTTCGTGGCGATTTATACGACGGAGTTCTCATTTTCTCACGAGTCGAGCCAATTGTAAATGGATTATCGTCCTTCTCTTGATCATCATCTCTCTGTCGATCTCTCGACGAGCCAATTGTAAATGGATTATCATCATAAGATGGACTTTTGTCACGCGATGTATTTGCATTAAATTTCCCACCACCGCCGCCACCACCACCACGACTTCGCGGACTTTGCTTATATTTTGGCGATTTATTACGCGAGTATGATGGCGATTTACCTCTTGATGTACTTGACAGTGATGGTGATTTTCCCCGTTGATTCATTGAATACGACGGTGATTTTCCTCGGAATGAGCCCGATGATGAGTACGTTGGAGTCTTGTCCCTAGAAGAAAATGAATTATTATCATCAAACGATTGTTTCGGTGTATTGTCACGTGACAATCCTTTTGTGAATGTATTGTCGCCCATGTCGAAGTGACGATTGTCTTCATTTTCATAGCGACGTGGAGTTCGACGATCTTCATCGAATCTTGGAGTATTGCCACTGAAATCAAATTTATTGGAAATTAATAATAATCTCATATTTAATAATTAATTAAATACTAGAAAATGATACGTTTGCGGAACGCCGAATCCCATTTATTATTATTTTGTAAATTAAAAAACTTTATATTTTCAAGAATAAACATCAATTTTTGAATGATTTCAGATTCAATATTTAAAGAATTTACTTATTAAGTACATAATATTAAATATTCTTATTTATTATTATTCAAAAATTTTAATAACATTTTGCGCAAGGATTTCATTATTCTCTTAAATAATAATTTTTTTTAGAGCAATTCAATTATTTTCAATACAATTTTAATCAATACAATTATTTTTCAAAATATTATTTAAATTCAATTATTTTCAAGAATTTTATTATAAATTCAATTATTTTCGACAATTTTGATGAAATTCTTTTAAAAAAATCATTATTTTCAAAATTTTTAATAAAATAAAATTCCTTCAAAAATTCAGATAAAATTCTTAGAAAGCAATTCGAAACAATTCAATTATTTTTATGAATTGTAAAATTATTTCCAAAATTATATTATTTTTAAAAATATTATTTAAATTCAATTATTTTCAACAATTCTAATCAAATGTTTCGAAACAATTCAATTATTTTTGTAAACAATAAAATTCTTCTCAGAAATTAAATTATTTTCAATACAAATTTAATAAAATTTCTCGAAAGAATACAATTATTTTTAAAAATATTATTTAAATTTAACTATTTTCAACAATTCTGATAAAATTCTTCGAAACAATTTAATTATTTTCATTATTGTGAAATTCTTATCAAGAATTCAATTATTTTTAAAATTTTTAGCAAACAATATTTTTAAAAACTCCATTATTTTCAAGAAAATTGAAATTAATTCTTCAAAACAATTCAATTATTTTAAAGAATTTTAATAAAAATCTTGCCAAAAATGAAATTATTTCCAATACAATTTTAATTGTATTATCTCTAAAGAATTCAATTATTGAAAAAAATATTGATAAAATCCTTAAAATGAATTTAATTATTTTCAAATTTTTTTATAAATACTCTACAGGAATTCAATGATTTTCAGTAAATCGACAATTTAATTATTTCTGAAAATAATTGAATTTTTGAATAGAATTTTATTAAAACTTTTTTTAAATAATTGAATCCCTGCGAAAAAGTTTATTATTTTTGCAAATAATGGAATATATGCAACATCTAAAAAAATAAGTGAATTTTTGAGAAAAATGTTATGAAAATTGTATTTTAACTAATTGAATACCTGGGAAAAATGTACTTTTTATTGATATAATCAAATTCTTACGAAGAATTTAAAAATATTGTAATTTTCTCTAGAATTCAATTAAAATTATATTTCAAATAATTGAATTCCAGCGCAAATTTTATTCTTTATGAAAATAATTGAATTCTTGAATTGAATTTTATTAAAAGTTTTTTAAATAATTAAACTCCTATGAAAAATTCAATTATTTTTTTAAATAATTAACATTTTTCGAAAATTTTTTACAAGATTTTTAAAAATCATTGAAATTTTCGAAGAAATCAATTAAAATTGTATTGAAAATAAGTTTTAAGAAACTTATTTTATTAAGATTTTAAAAATTTTTAAAGAAAATCTTCATAAAATTCAATTACTTTTAAATTTTTCAGTAAAATATATTTTAAAAAACTACATTATACTTAAGAAAATTAAAATAAATTCTTCAAAACAATTCAATTATTTTAAAGAATTTTAATAAAAATCTCGCCAAAAGTTAAATTATTTTCAAATACAATTTTAATTACATTTTCTCCAAAGAATTCACTTATTTTTCTAAATACTAATATTCTTCGAAGGAATTCTATTATTATCAAATTTTTTGATAAATTTGTTTGCAACAATTCTATGGTTTTATCAAATAAATCTTTAAATAAGTGAATTCTCTCAAAAAATTGTAACAAAATTTCTAAAAATAATTACATTTTTCAAGAAATTTATTTTCATATGTATTAAAAATAATTGAATTTCTGCGAAAAGTTTTATTATTTGAGAAAATAATTAAATCCATAAGAAGAATTTTATTATTTTTGAACATAATTAAATTTCTGCAATATTTTGTAATGCAAAAAAAAAAATTTATTGAATAATTGAATTGTTTCTTAAAATTCAAATCTCATAAATAATTTTATCAACAAATTTTTAAATAATTGAATTCTTTCGACGAAATTCAATAAAATTTTTTTTAAAAAAATTGAAATTATGTAAAGAGTTTTATTATTTATGAAAATAATTGAATTTCTAAAAAGAATTTTATTATTTACGAAAATAATTGAATTATTGCGAAGAAATTTATAGAAAATTTGTAAATAATTGAATTCCTGTGAAATTTTCATTATTTTATGAAAATAATTAAATGTTCGTCAAGAATTTTATTAAAATTATTAACGAACACGATTATTTTAAAAACTTGAAAGAAATTGTTCATAAAATTAAATTATTTTCAAAACTTTTAATTAAAATTATTAAAGAAACTCCATTATTTAAAAAAAAGTTCTTTGACAATTTTCCAATCCATTTGTTTACAATATTCAATTTTAAGAAATTTCAATTATTCGTGAATTCTTCAATTAAATAAATATTTGAAAATAAAAACTTAAAATATAATATTAAAAAAATTCAATTAAACTTTTTCAAAAAAATTAATTTCAAAATTTAATGATTTTTAAAAATTAATGCTGTATTGCTTTTAATATTCAATTATTATCTAAAATTTTAGTTAGTTTTATCTATGAACAAATTAAAATTAAATTTTTAAGAATAATTACATTTTTCGAGAAAATCGATTAAAATTGTATTAAAAATAATTCAAAATTCTGCGTTGAGTTTTATTATTTGTGAAAATAATTGAATCCCTAAGAAGAATTTTATTACTTTTGAAAATAATTGAATTTCTGCAATCATTTGTAATTTCTCAAAAATTCTCTAAACTATATCAAATACAATTTACAAACTTTTTGTCTTTTCAATGAAATTACGGACCTTTTTTTTAAAAAAAACTGACTTTTCCGGACTTGAAGTTTACGACTTATTTTACGTAACGAATGTTTTCAAAGACATTATTTCTGCTTTTCTGTTGATCTTTCAGAATTTTAAGTGGTCAATCTTTTTCTATTTGATTATATGTCTGTGGTTCATATTATTTTTTCAGAATAGAATAGAATTGCAAATTGGAAAAGCAATATTAATTATTACTATTAATTTTTTACTAAAAATTTGTAAAACTATTTGAGGGCATTAAAAATATTGTTCAAGAGTATTTCAAGTCATGATGAAAAAAATCTGCTGACATTTTCCGGTTTTCCAGGACATTTCTAATTTCCCTGACATTTCCCGATTTTCCAGGTGTTTTTTTTTTTTTTTTTTTGAAAAAAGAAAGAGGTTACTTACGAAGATTTATTGGAACCGGCCTGACGAGCCCAGGCCATGGCAGCTTTTTTCCAATCCATATTATTTCCGGAAGGAGCATTAGAAGGAGGCGGCGTTGGTCTCGAGAGACTGGGGCTACTGTGGTGGATTGGTTGGATCGAAACCGGTGCTGGTTGCAAAAATGGAGTTTGTGGCGTTCGATAAGGCGTCATTGCTTGGAAGGGGGTTTGACCCGATGGAGTGTAAGGCGTATTTGGATAAGTGTGAATGCCACTGTAGCCCGCAGCACCAGGAGTGTGTGGCTGGTACATCTTCTGATTCGCAACCTGCGACAACGAACTTAAAATATGTTGCGGCATATTTTGAGCCACTCTCTGAATCGCCTCTTGATTAACACCTGCAAACAAAGAAATGTCACCAATAACAGAAAACAAAAATACCAAAAAAAAAAATAACAATAACAAAAATGATACCAGAATCAAAATTATCATCAAATCTTTTACCTCCTGGTGTATGGTACGGAGTTCTAGTCGACATCATTCCTCTCGGAGTGCTCGGAGTCGCTTGCCCTGGTAGCGGATCTCGGAAATGTTCCTTGAACCATTTCAATAAATCAGCCACTTTGCTGAACATTTGTCCACGAAATCGAAAACCCTCTGGCGAAACTGTCACATATTCATGACGACATTGAACTCGTGGCAAGTAGGAAAGGAGAAATTTTCCCGGAATATTTTTAGCTGCTGAAATAATGTAAGGAATGCCGCCAGGATTCTCCTTCTTCTGGGTCTTGAGCAATTCCTCGGCTTTGTCCTTAATTCCATTGACACTTGCTTTATAGTATTTGAATTCAAGTAGTTCGGAAGCATAAGCAGCCATTGGATTTATATGTCGAGCGAGGATTTCATCAAGATCCTCAAATTCCTCACCGCCAATCCACAATCGATGACCCAGGGAAAATGCATTTTCTTTGCCCTCTTCACGCACGTCGATATGCTGATGAACTCCATCGGTCACCTTCCACGTCACTGTCAAATGATCAGCACCTTTGCTACTCGGTCTGATAATCGCGTCTCCCTGCTTCATACTCTGCAAAAGTTTCTCCGATTCCGAGAAACTAATATTGTGAAAAGATGGATGAACAATAACGCGCTTCACGTAAGTTTGTCGTTGTTTCACTTTTTTCGCGTCCTCCTCGACCTGACGATCTTTCTCCTCAGAATCGGTGTCATAAAAAGGATCCTTCTGAGGCCTGAACACAAAACAATGTAAACAGATTTATTTTTATTTCAATTTAAGTAATTTTTAGGCCAATTTATTAAATTATTATTTATTTATTTAATTTTTTGTTTCTTTGCAAAAACAGGGTTGATACAGGATCAGGGCTCGAAACAGTGAAAGTATTTAAAAGTATTTAAAAATACGGACATTACGGACCAAAAATGAAAAATTACGGACCAATTTCTAACAAAAATTTAACCAAAAATTTAGTCCGAGTCAAATAAGAGAACATTTTACTTAAAATTATAAATTAAAATTTTCTTAACTATAAGAAAATGATCCCTGATCGATAACTCCGAGTCTTCGACTCGGAATGATCGATTTCTTCATGTTTTATAATAATTACCTAATGAACAAAAATTTTAAATAATTGAATCCCTGCGAAAAAATTTATTAAAATTGTATATTTATAATAATTGAACTTCTGTGAAAAATTCAATTATTTTTTTAAATAATTGTAATTTCTCGGTGAATTTTTATAAGATTTTTAAAAATAATTGCAATTTTCGAAGAAAACAATTAAAATTGTATTGAAAATAAGTAGAATCTTGATAAAAATTTTATTATTTTAAAGAATTTTAATACAAATCTCGACAAGAATTAAATTACTTTCAATTTAATTTTAATTACATTTTGTCGAAAGAATTCAATTATAGAAAAAAATGTTGATAAAATTCTTGAAGTGAATTCAATTATTTTCAAATTTCTAATTTTTTTATAAAAACTTTGCAAGAATTCAATGATTTTCAGAACATTAATTTTAAAATTGAAAACATTTAAAAAGGAAAATTATTTCAACAGTTTGGAAACAAAAAAGCAAACAGAACTTTATACTGCGAACAGATTACCGGAAAACGATTATTAATATAGAAGATAGATTTTGATTGGAAATTTTGAAAATAATTTTCATTATTTTTGATACAATTTTAATCAAATTCCTCGAAAAATGTAATTATTTACAAAAATTTTATTAAAATTCGTCAAAAGAATATAAAAATCTGTTGATGAAATTCTTTATGAGAATTCAATTTTAACAGAACATTCAATTTTTCAATAAATTATTTATTTTTAAATTTAAATAATTGAATTTTCGTAGAATTTTCTAATAAAAATTGATTCAAAAATGAATTTCCGAATAATCGATTTTTTATTTATAAAAATAATTGAATTTTGCATCGAATTTTATTACACTTATTTTAAAATAATTGAATTCTTTTGAGAAATTTCACTACTTGTAAAAATAATGGAATTCTTTCCAAGGATTTTATTAGAAGTTTTGTAAATAATTAAATTTTTTTTGAAAAATTTTATAATTAAAATTTCTATAAAACAATATCTTCGTCAAATTTCAATTATTTTCAATTTTTTAATGAAATTTCTCGATAGAATTTAATTATTTTCAAAAAGTTTTAAAAAATTTCGAGAAATTCAAATTATTTTAATAAATTTGAATAAAAATTTGACTTAAATTCTTTAAAAAATTTTTTAATAAAATTCGTTGCAAGAATTCAATTATTTTCATAAATAACAAAACTTATCGTAGAATTTCAATTATTTTTTATATTTAAAATTTTAAATAAAATGATAGAAAATTGCATTTATTCTTAAAATTTTTTTTTTGAAATCCGCCGAAAGAATTCAATTATTTTTAAAAATTTTGATGAAATTCTTCATAAAATTCAATTTTAAGAAATATTCAATTATTTAATAAATTATTTTTTGTTGTATTTAAGCAATTGAATTTTCGTAAAATTTTCTAATAAAAATTGATTAAAAAATGAATTTCACTTAAAATTTTAAATTATAATAATTATTAAATATTTATTTAGAAAAGAAGTTAATGATGTTTTCGAATAAGTTTACTTTTAGAGAAATTTGCAAATAAAAGTATTAGAAAATTTTTTTGAGTACCTAATAATTTTGAGAGTAAATCAGAATATTTTTTAGAGTCAGGAAAAAAGTGAAAATTTTCTCTAGAAATCAGGAAAAAACAAAATTAAATATTTGTGTTAACCCTGAAAAAATGAACTTACCTGAATTCATTCTTTTTATCCGAAAGATCGCTGCTTTTACTCGTGCACTCAACACCGAATTTTTCCACTTCAATTTTGATAATTCTACAGTGAATAATCTGCCCCAGTCCAACTCTCTCCTCCGGATTGGCGACGTGCTTATCAGACAGATTTTTAATATGAATATAGCCCGAAATTCCATTGTCCAATCGCAGTCGAATTCCAATTGCTTTGCCAGGACAAGATCCAGCGTCAAAATGATTCCACACCTCGGACAATTCGGGAAAATCGTTCTTCAAACAAAACGGACACTGCCAGAGCCCTGTCTCGTCATTCCTCACCGGATTCGCCTGATCGAGTTGATCTCCTTGTGGTTTTCTACGACTAATCCCAACGACAGTCGCTAAAATCAATTTCCCCTCGTAGAATGTTTCCAGCGTCTCCTTGGTGAGCATATCGAAGAGTTTCTCCGGATTCGGCGATTGATAAACAACTCTTAGATCCTTGTATCGACTATTCAATTCCGCTCTGATATCATAAAGTGTCACACGTTTATTTCCAAAACCCTGTCTCTCTAATTCCTCCGCAAATGCATCGAGATCCAAGTCCTTCAATTTCTCCGGCGACTCCAAAATCTCCTCCAAAGCTCCCGCTGGATTCGCATCCTCGTCGTCGTACTCGAGCGCATCGACCGCCATTTTCCTCGCCCACTCATAAGTCTCCGGATGAACTCTCGATCCATCGAGAACCTCAACATAAGCCTCCGTACTATCACCAAGACTATTTGTATCAATTTTAATAAATCCCGCGCAATTAATAAACACCTTTGGTCCCATATGACAAGCAGTGACCAATTGCGTTCTATTCTCCAATCTCTGATTCGTCTGCTTCAAAATTTTAATCAAAGCCTGTCCCTTTCTCTGACCCAGCCCGCAGACAAATTGCACCAAATTCCCACAGTACGCCTGTTGCACAGCTTTGCTAATATCCACTCCAACTTCATTCACACGATTCACAAATTCAAGATAAATATTCTCCAACAACTCATCCTGAAGCAATTGATCCTGCAATGGATGAAACTTGAGACAAAGTATCTCCTCATCAGCGGTGCATAATTGCGAAAATTCCACCAATGGATCCTGCATTCTTCGCGACAATGAAATTGCCTGTCTCAATAGTTCGGGATAATCACGAAACTCAGCGATTCCTTTATTACTATTTGCGTAAATTTTCGCCAAATCATTCTCGCAGATTTCCACCTGAACAGCGGGAAATTGTTCTTCCTCAACGAGATTTGTGATAATTTCCTTAACATCAGCTTGAATCATTAAAGCCTCCCTCGACTCGCCACCAATGACAATTAACTGTGGTTTCTTGGTGGCGATAAAATTTCGAATTGCCAATAGATCTGCCTCCTTCATGACTTTCTCGTCGCGGCGGAAACTATTTTTCCGCTTGAGAAGATGAGGAAGACGTAGATGATCGGTACACTCGCCATCCGGTGAGATAATGCAAGCAAATGCCGATTGTGAATAATCGGGAACGTAGGAGAGTCCCATAACACGTAATCCTCGACTTGTGTCCCATTCCTCGTCATCTTCTTCGGGAAATTCACAAGTGTAGGGTGATACTTTCAGCCAGTTGTACATTTTTCGACAGCACGATCTCATCACGCATTCTTTTGCCTCGGCGAGCAAATTTGCACGTAATTCCTTCTTTAGGTCCGGGATCACCTGCAATTCACAAAATTGAATTTCAATTAATTCAATTAATTAATTCAATCAATTAATTTAAAAAGAGAGTAATTTCGACTGAATTAAAAAATTCAATCCAGATTTTCATCTACAGAAAATCTGACGATAGGCGGGAAATGTAAAAAAACAAAAATAAAACAATACCTTCCGAAAAAGTAATTTTCAAATAATTCCACGATGTTTCCACTTTCCTGAATATAAAATAAAAATCTATATTAATAATCGTTGTATTCCGGTAATTTGTTCGCTGTTTGAAGTTAGTTTATGTTTACTTCTTTGTTTCCTAACTTTTTAAATAATTTCAATTTTAAAATTAAAATATAGGTTAAAAATCATAAAATTGTTGCAAGGAATTTCATCAAAACATTTGATAATAATAAAATGAATTCAAAGAAATTTTATTATTTAGGAAAATAATTGAATTCTCGTAAAGAATTTTGTTCAAATTTTTTTAAAATTCCAATTAAATTCTTTTTGAAGAATTTCTTTGAATTTTTTTTTTCAATAATAAAGCTTTTTTAAAAATTTTAATTAAAAACTTTAAAAATATGTAATTGAATTTTATGAACAATTCCTTTAAAGTTTTTTAAATAATCGTGTTTGTTAATAATTGAAATTAAACATTTAATTAATGAATTTTATTAAAATTTTAGAAACTAATTGAATTCTTTTGAAGAATTTATTAGAAGTTTAGAAAACAATTGAATTTTATCGAAAAATATTTTAAAAAATTAAAAACAAATGAATTTTTGCAAAGAATTTTACTATTTACAGATATATAATTGAATTCTCTTGAAGAATTATGTTAGAATTTTTGATAATTCTAATTAAATTCTTTTTGAAGAATTTCTTTGAATTTTTTTTCAATAATAAAGCTTTCTTAAAAATTTTAATTAAAAGCTTTTAAAATAATTGAATTTTATGAACAATTTCTTTCAAGTTTTTAAAATAACCGTGTTTGTCAATAATTGAAATTAAATATTTAATTATTGAATTTTATTAAAACTTTAGAAAGGAATTGAATTCGTTTGGAAAATTTTGTAACAAATTAAGAATAAAATTGAATTCTTTCGTGAAATTGTTTTGAATATAATTGAATTATGCAAAGAGTTTTACTAATTATAAATAAAATTCGATTGTTTCGAAAGATTTGTTAAAAATTTAGAAAATAATTGAATTCTTTAGTGAATTTTTTTTGAAAATAATTGAATTTTTGCAAAGATTTCACTATTTAAAAAAATAATTGAATATAATTCAATTTTTGCAAAGATTTCACTATTTAAAAAAATAATTTAATTGTTTCGAAGGATTTATTAAAATTTCTGAAAATAATTGTATTCGTTTTGGAAATGTTATTAAAATTTTGTTAAAAATTAATTCAATTTTTGCAAAAAATTTTCCTATTTATATAAATAATTGAATTTTTACGAAGAAGGTTATTATTTATGAAAATAATTGAATTCTTGGGAAGAATTTTCTTAAAATTTTTGAAATTAATAAACAACAATAATTAATTAGTAAATTAGTTAATAATTGAATTTTTTTAAAGTTTGAATCGTATTCCATCAATCTATTCGCAGTTTGAAGTTAGTTGTAATTTGATTTTTTGTTTCCTACAGAATTTTTGCAAAGAATTTTATCAACAAATTTGAAAATAATTAAATTCCTCCGAACAATTTTATTATTTATTAAAATAATTGAGTTTTTATGAAGAATTTTACTAAAATTTTTTAAAATAATTGAATTCTTTCAAAATTTTTTGTTAAAATTCCATTGAAAATAATTGAATTCTCACGAAGAATTTTATTAAATTTTGTGAAAATAATTGAATTATTTCCAAGAATTTTACCAAAGTTTTGAAAATAATTGATTTCTATCGAAAAATTTTAATAAATTTGCATAGAAAATAATTGAATTCTCACGAAGAATTATATTATTTATGAAAATATTTGAATTTTTTGAAAATAATAGTTTTTTTCAATAATTTTAATTGTACATTTTGAAAGTAATTGAATTTTATCAAGAATTTCTTTTGAGTTTTTAAAATAAACGTGTTTCTTAAAAATTTTAACTAAGCATTCAATTATTGAATTTTATTAAAATTTTTAGAAAATAATTGAATTCCTCTCAGAATTTTATTACAATTTTTCTAAATAATAATAAATAATAATCAAATACATTTCAAATTAAATCCATTTGTACTAAAATATTAAGAATAATTCAATTCTTTCAAAGAATTTCTTTAAATGTTTGAAAGAAGAACAAAAATTACAATTTTTAAAAATATTCGAATTTAAACATAAGTTTAAACAAAAATTTAATTCTTGCCAAGAATTTTACACTATTTATAAAAAAAATAATTGAATTTTTTCGAAGATTTTATTATTTATGAAAATAATTGAATTTTTTTGGAAATAATAATATTTTTAATAATTTTAATTGAAAATTTTTTTAAGTATAAGTGAATTTCATGAAGAATTTCTTCCAAATTTTTAAAATAAACGCCTTTATCAATCATAGTAATTAAACATTTAATTATTGCATTTTATATAGATTTTCAGAAAATAAATGAGAAATTTTTTTGTTTTGTAAAAAAATTTTAATTCTTCATTTTTAAAATATTGAATTTTAAATCAAAAATATTTAATTAATTGAAACTGAAATTGCTTTTGAATTTAAAAGATTTGTAATGTAAAAATTTTTATTTTTAAAAATAATTTAGTTGGGAAAAATTTTACTATTTATAAAAATAATTGAATTTTTTAGAAAAATTTTATTATAATTTTTAAAATAATTAAATCCATTCGAAAAATTTTATTAAAATTGTATTGAATTCCTGCAAAGAATTCTATTAATTTATAAAAATAATTGATTTTTTCCGAAGACAGCTAATTATGAAAATAATTGAATTCTCGGGGAGAAACTTATTAGAATTTTTAAGAACAATAAACAATAATAATAAATTATGTAACTTAATAAATGATTTTTTTAAATTTTAGATTCTAAAATTATTCAAAAATTGAATATTTAAAAATAAAAAATTTTATATAGTAAAGAAAATTACCATTTTCATAAGAGCCATTTCCACACTGCCAACTCGTAGTGCATTCCAGTCTTGAACATTTTTACTGAACTCATCTCTATAATAAAGTTGTTTCATTTCCTCAATAAAATTTGCGCTCGTATTGCCCTCAATGGAATTACTGAATGAAATGGTAATCAGCTTATCTTCCTCGGCGATAATTAATTTTAAAAAATGATCACCAATCAGATCGCGTACGGGTTTATTTTTCAGATATTTCATCGAGAAAATTGGATGATTCTCATCGATTTCCTTCATTCCCTTCTTTGTTGGTCGTATTGATATTTTTGCTCTCTCCATATAAATGTCGCGCACACATTTTCGCACAAGTGGTTCGCGCGCCAATTGAAATGCCACCATTAATTGTGCGGCTTTTAAAACTTCGTCGGAATTCTTAAATTTCTGACCAATAAATTCTTCGGCAAGACCAATTGGTTCCATTGGTTCTTGATCGACTTCGTGTCGTTGATAATTGTCTCGTAAATTTTCAGCAAAATTCTCCGGCGAAAGTCCAAATTTTTTCGCCAAACTTTCCAATCCAGCTTTACGACAAATCTCATAAGGACCAGTGCGAGCGGCTTTTTTCAAAATCTCATCAGAATTATCCTCCTCTTCCTCCTCCTCATCTTCCTCAGGCGGTGCTTCCTCACCATTTTCCTCAGCCTCAAGTATCAATTGCTTACGTTTTTGTCGTTTCGCCTCTTTTCTTGCCTCTCTCTCCTTCTGCCTCACTGCTTCCTGCATCACCGGAATTTCATGATTGTAATATAAAATAAAATGATGATAAATATCATTGAGCTCTTCACTTGTTTGTGCATTTTTCAATCGTTCAACGTCCTCGTCTTTAATAACTCGCAGATTTTCCGGCAATGGTGCATCGGGATTTTTCATTATTTCCTCAAGTTGGAAATTTTTCATTTTTTCAAAAAGTTTCAAAAGATTTTCCTTTCGTTGACGAAGTTGACACCATTTTGCATCGAATTTATAAACTTTCCACAAATCGTTTATATTCAATTCAGGCAAAACGTATTCTTTACGATAGAAGGAAATAAAAGGCACTTCGAAATATTGATTTCGCATAAAGTCCAGGGCCTTTTTGATCTTTTCTATTGTATGCGGTGGTTTGTTGGCTCTCTCTTTTGCTTCGGCATTCAAATGCGAATCTTGAACTGAAATTGTTGGCCGATGAAATGCTTGTTCGTAAATCCATTTTGCCTCGAGATCCAATTCATCGGAACCTTCCGGCACTGGTGTCATTGGCACTGAACGAAGTTGTATTCTCTCTGGTATGTCTGTTGTTCGAACCTAGGAATAAGAATTAAAAATTAAAATCAATTCCGAATTGTAGAAAATTGTAAATAAATTTTTGTCACTAACTTCGTTGTCAAGATCCGTGAAATGTCCACGCTTGAGTTCGCAGGGTTCGTAAATTTCAAAAATACTCTTTTTCGTAGTCTTCTTTTTCAGTTGTTTCTTCGGTCTCTTGGGTTTGTCAATATCAGCCTCTTCATCAACGTAATCATCTTCCTCTTCGTCTTCTTCCTCCTCGTAATCTTCTTCTCCGTATTTGTCAAACTCGTCGTAATCGAAATCAACACCAAAAATATCCTGCGCCTCTTGAAGAGCTCTAAAGTAAAAAGTAGATAGAAATATTTAGTTTTTAACGTTTCGAATAAATTTCGAATTATAAATGTACTTACGCATCTGAAAAGATATGTTTTTTCTTCTTCCTTTTCTCAGCTATTGGTCGACCGTCATCATCGACAATAAAATCGTCTTCTGAATATTCTCCCTCACTACCTTCCTCATCAAAAGTTTCTATTTCCGGTCTATGACTTCTTTCACTCCTTTCGTCCTCCTGTTAAGAATAATTTTTTTCCCTTTATTACAAGTATTTTTTCACTATTCTAAAAATTATTTTTATATAAACAATTATACTCTTACTCTACTGAAAAATTTTTATAAATATGAAATGATTAATGTTCAAAAAAAATTTATTTAGTAAATATTTACCAGTACGTCACGTTCCTGATTTTTGCAGACATGAAAAAAGGGAATTTAAATATGCAAAATTTTAAATGAATAATAAATAAAAAAAATAAAAATAAATAATAAATAAAAACTTACATCTCCTGAACCTTCGAATAATTGATTTGCAATTGCGTCTCTCTCTTCTTCCACTTCGTGTTCCTGTTCTTCTTCAGATTCTTCGTCTTCAATTTTTCGAAGACGTTTGAATCGTTTCTGCAAAAAAAAATCAAATTTTATTCTTTTTCAATAAAAATAACTGTTTGCTAGTAATTTTTAGAAAAAATAAAAAAAGAATTTATCAAATAAAAAAAGTCTTACCCTCTCGACTTTAACGCCAAGATTTTCCTCAATGAGATCATAATCATCATCTTCAAGACGATCATCAAAATCTTCCTCGTCACTTTTTTTGCGCTTTTTCGAACCATCGCTGTCCTCTCCGTCACTGTCGTCTTCCTCGATTGGATTGTCATCAATCAAATCTTTTAATTCTTCTCTCAAACGATCTTCATCGTCTATAAAATATTGAAAAAATCCCATTTATAATTAATTTAATAATTATTATTTATAATTTAAATAATTTTATCAATCAATAATAATTAAAATAAATTAAATCATTTAAATAATTAAAAATATTAAGAATAATAAATTAAATAGTTTAAATAATTAAAAACTTAAATAATACATAATAATTAATAATTTAATAATAATAATTAATTGTAATTAATAATTTATAATTAAAAATACAAAAAGCTCAAAGTTTTATTTATAATTATCTAAGACCAGAAAATTACATTATGTAATTATAATTATTGTTAAATAAATAAAATAAATTGAAATTATTATTCGCTTAATTAATAAATAAACAAATATTTAAGTGAAAGTACTCAAAACACACGAGGTTTTAATAAAAGAAAAATTACGAACTGATCTGAACCGATTCCTAAACTCCAAAAAGTAAAAAATAATTTGCAATTTTAACAAAACTTAACCAATGACAAAAATAACTAACCTTCGTCTTCCTCATCGCTCTCTTCCATTGCCTTAAGTTTTTTAAGTTTCTTCCTCTCCGTTGGATCCAATTCATCCTCATCCTACAAAATTACGAAAAAAAATGTAATATTGACATATTAAAAACAATTCTCCATTTATATTCGATACAAAAATAAAGAAATTGTCACAAACACAAAAATAGACACAAAATTGTCGATATTCAAAGCATCGTCATATTGCACAAAAAAATGCCTTCTTGTTTCAAGAAAAAATTAAAAAAAAAAAATAATTCTACTTGGGCTGATTAAGAAAACTGGAAAATAAAACTATTTTTACGCAAAAAACTTCAAACTACCCAAGTTTATCTAACAATTAATAGATGACTATTTTTACAACATCGATTATAAATAATTTGCTTTGATTATTGAGGTGCATTAACAATTTTTTACATACATCACTCTCTTCTGCTTCTGAATGTAAAAAGTCTGCCATTGTCACAAAATTTCGAACACCTTTTTAATTAGAGGAAAATTTGGGAAAATTATCTTTTGATCTTTTTCAATGAAGACGACACGCAAAAAAGTAGTACAAGTAACTGTTCACACGCGACACTGCGATCAACTTTTTCACGCATGCGTTTTCATGTGCGGCGGTAAATTTCTAATTTTCAATTAATATAAAAATAAAAAAACAATTCACTAAAAAATTATTTATTAAAAAAAATTCAATTCAAAATTTTAATTAAATTTTCAATTTTTTAAAATTAAATAAAATCTTTAATACGTTAAAAATAAATAAAATATATTTTAAATTAAAAGAATTGAAAGTTTAATTACAAATTTGAATAAATAAATTTCTATTTAAATTTAAATAAATAAAGTAAATTTAAATTAAACAAATAAATTTCAATTTCAATTTAAAACTGTAATTTTTAATCAGAAATTTTGAAACTTGAAATAAAAACAATTTATAGGTAATTTTTTTTTATAAAAGACTAGAATTAATAATTTTTAATAAAAAAAAAAAAAAAATTTCAATTTCAATTAAACAAATGAATCTCAATTTCAATTAAACAAGTAAATTTCAATTTACATTAAAGAAATAAATTTCAATTTAAATTTAAAACTGTAATTTTTAAACAGAAATTTTGAAACTTGAAGTAAAAACAATTTACAAAGATTATTTTAAATAAAAGACTAGAATCAACAATTTTAATTAAACAAATAAATTTAAATTTCAATTAAACAAATGAATTTCAATTTACATAAATTAAAAAAATAAATTTCAATTTCAATTATAAATATTATAATTATATTATTATTATTATTATAAATTTTAATTTAAATTTTAAACTGTAACTTTTAAACAGAAATGTTGAAAATTGAAATAAAAACAATTAACAACGAATTTCTTTTTGTTAACAAAAGACTAGAATTTTTATTCTTTTAAACTATTAAAATTTTTCACAAAATACAAACTAATATTTTCAATTATATTCGTAGTTGATTTTAAATTAAAAACAATAAAAATATAGTTTTGAAAGATTTCAGAATAAATTCCCCAAGGATAAAAGACAATATTTTTCAAAAATCTCTCAAGGGTTCAAAAATACATTTTTCGTTTTTAATTTCTCTAGAGAAATGGCAAAAAAATTCTGTTTAAAATGGTAAATATAAATTTAACAATTCTATAAAAAAAAAACATTTTTCTTGTGACTAAATGAAAAATTATCAAAACAATATTAAAATAATTTCTTTTAAGTTTTAATTAAAAAAGTATCATGATGTTTTTTTTTCTATTTTTATTAATTTTTTATTTTATTATTCATTTTATTATTTATTTTTATTATTATTATTATTATTATTATTTTTATATTTATTAATTTTATTATTTTTATTGTTATTAATAAAAATAAAAAGTATCATATAACGGAAAATAAATGTTTATAGTTTAAAAATCAAAACTAATTTCAAGTTAGAATATAAATTGAATTTGTAATTGAAATAAAAATATAAATAAAAGAATGTATTTTCCACACCCAGAAAAAATATATATTTGACTCAGAGCCAACTAGACTTTATATTCGTGTCAAATAAATTTTATCTAGGAGTTAAATGAAATTTTATTTAAATCAAATAAAAGTTTTATTTATGTCGAATAAAATTTTTATTTAAAACAAATAAATATTCTAGTTGGCTTTGAAACAAATATACTTTTATATAATTCAAATAAATTATATTCGGTTCGAATAAAAATTTTTTTAACCCAAATAAATTATATTTGGTTCGAATAAAGTTTTATTTAACTCAAATAAATTATATTCGGTTCAAATAAAAATATATTTGGTTCAAATAAAATTTTATTTATCTCAAATTATATATTTGGTTCAAATAAAATTTAATTTAACTCAAATAAATTATATATTCAGTTGAAATAAAATTTTTCTCCGATTATATAAATTCCAAATAACAAAATTTCCAATAAAATATATAATTAAAATTAAAAAAAAAGATAATAAATAAAACAATTTTGTCTAAAATTTTAACGTCAGAGAGAAGTAAATAAATTTCCCCAAAATTGGGATTTCAGAAGAAAATGAAACGAAGAAAAAAAGAACAGGACAATCCAAGTATCATGGATGCTGGATATGATGATGGAACTTCACCTGGGACCCTGGAATGCATTAGGAAGGATGCTGGAGACGAGGTAAAATGATAATAGGCATATATAGAGTAGCCAGAGAGGACTCCAAGTTTCCAGCGAATATATTCGCGCACCAGGTCCACGCAGATAGATCCAGCCTGTTTGGGTTAGTTCAACGACCACCGCCCTGTTCTCAGCCAACCCCAATCTTGGAATCCATCACCAATACCATCAAGCCAACACCAACATCTGAAAAACGAATAACAACACTATATACTATCCTCAATTTATCAAAAAATATAATTTCAAATTTAAAAACATCACATAATTTGCTGAATTAGAGTTTATATTTATTAACTCGTTCGCAAATTTTTACAAAAATTATTATTTGACAAAAATTACTATTTTTATTTATTACTATTTTTATAATATTATTATTTACCGAAAAATATTATTATTTTTATAAAATATGTTAAACAAAAAGAATAATAAAGAATGATAAACAAAAATTAGAATGAAAATTAATTATAATAGAGGATGAAATCTAAAATTTATTATTTATTATTATAAAGCTGTAAATTAAAAGAAAATAAATTTTCAAGTAGAATAATTGGAATGAAAATAAAATAAGTAACATAATTAGTTGAATGTAGAAATTAAATAATTAAATTTGCGAAAATAAAAAATATTTCACCCCTCATTGAATGTGATTGATAAAAATTAAATTTGACTCTAATTTACAAAATTTGAAATGTAAAAACAAAACTATTTATATAGATATATATTTCTATAAATTCTAATTATTTTATTCGGCAAATAATTGAAATTGAAAATTTCAGAAAATCTTGAATAGAAATAGAGAGAAAAATTGAAAAGTAGAAATAGAAATAAAAATTGGAAAATAGAAATAAAAAGAAAAATAGAAAATATTAATAATAATCGTAACATTCAAAATTAAGGTAAAATTAATAATAAAATGTATATTGAAATAAATTAAATTAATTAAATTAATCTTAACAGAAAAACGAATAGCGACAAGTAAAGAAAAAGACAAAATTAATTAATTTTTTCCAAACCAAAAAAAAAAATAGAAAATTTATATTTCTGACAAAACGAACAATTGCTAAAAATGAAATAATAAAAAGAAACCAACTTGAATTCAAAAATTGAACCAAAAATTTGAGGCAGAATCTCCCGGGTACGAAATAAATGATTTTCGTCCCTGATTCATCCCCGACGACCTTTAGGCGAGCCAGGGATGTCAATTCGACTATGCCAGTTCCCTCGAGTCCAGGGTTAGACGCAACTGGCCGCTAGTCTGCTCCCTTCTTTCGCTAGTTTCATTTCATTTATTCGTTTTTTAGTTATTCTCTTCAGTTAAATAAATAAAAAAGAATAAATAAATAAATTAGAAACGTTCATTCGATTCGTTTCTTAAAAAGTTGATTCAACTTAAAACTGCAATATTTGCTTTTTTGAAAGAAGATCTCTAAAAAAAGAAAATATAGTTCAAATTAAAAAAATCAATTTTTTCCATTGCTACTGTTTCAAAAAAAATACAAAAAGTATACATACTTGAAAGAAAATCAATAAAATTCTCCAGTGTAGATAGAATCTACTCAGGTTTGTGGACTGAGTATACCTTCGCACATTTCAGCCGTATACGTAAACAACGGGGAAAAAATCTCTTCAAATTTGACGATTTCGTTGCAGTTATTCATTCCAGGTACGTGAAATTTTTCTCCCGCTAAAATAAATTCAAAAAATAAATTTTATGTAAAATTTGAAAAAATATCGAAATTAAGTAAAAAGTATAATAAAACTTATTAGAAAATTAATTAAAACTAAATAACTAAAAATATCTAAAAAAAAAGACTAAATAACTAAAACTAAGAATTACTAAAAAATCGAAAAACTTAAAACAAAATTAAATTTAAATTAAAAAAATTTTAAAATAGGAAATCATTAACAATTTTTTAAATTTTTGTTCCGTTCTAGATTTTATTATTTTTAATTTACAATATTAGTCCTATTATCCTTTAAAAATTGGAGTTCGAAGATAGAAATTGTGATTCATAACAGTTTTGTAGAATTAATTGTCAATTTTTTTTTATAACTTGAATTATACTTTTTACTTAATTTTACAATTTCTCTTATTTAAATAGTAAATATATGTTTATATTTTAATTTTTTATTTTATAATAAGTTTATATATTATTGCAGTTTATATGATTTTCTGTCTTAATAAATCGATGTAATTTTATTAAAACTACCAAGAAATGGAGATAAAATTTTTAAAATCACGAAGAAGAAAAAATTGTGTTTAGTCAGACGAAAAAATCCGGATAAAATGAAAAATGTTTCATTTTAAATCGTATATTTTTCTTCCTTTCGCTTAAATTCACTTTCAATTAAGTTACTTTTTTTTCTCTTTTGGAAGCACTCGGAATGAAAATTCTTTAATCGTCCCACCCAACTTTATCGAAAATTTGTTCAATACTTCTTTAATCTTAAAAAAAGCCCTGAATTTTTCATCAATCTGACTGGAAGAATATACATCTCAAACTTATATTTGAGCAATATTTTAAAAAATTTGAAATAGAAGAAATATTACTACTATATAGACGTATTTTTCAAAAATATTCGAATTGAGATAAAAATCTTTTCACTCTCCAAAATTACACAGGGGAAATTATTTGTCTTTCTTTAAAGTTCAATCAAAAAAGTTTGTTTACAATTAAAACAAATAGTTTGAATTTATTAAAATTAAAACAAAAAGTTTTAATTTATTAAAATTAAAATAAAATGTTTCAATTTAATAAATTGAAACAAAAGGTTTTAATTTATTAAAATGAAAATAAAATAAATTGTTCTAATTTAATAAATTTAAACAAAAGGTTTTAATTGATAAAAATTAATTTAAAATGTTTTTTTTTTAATAAATTTAAATTTTAACATAAACAAAAAGATTAATAATAAAAAATTAATCTTATCAAGTATTGCAAGTCTTGAGATAGAATTTGCGAAAAAAGAATTTATTTTTCTTGATAAAAAAGAGCGTTAATAAATCAGCTCGTGAGAATAATTAATTTCCAGTGTGTAATTTTGAAAAAGGAAGAAATATTTGCGAGATTTATTTTGTAAATAAACAAAGGAATAAATCTCGGATTATCTGCGAGGTCGTCTGGAAAGTAAGCGTCGAGGTGATGCTCGTCTGACGACCTTTGCCCTGTTCTTTCCTGTAGCCAGGTCCAAACCACCCTTTGTCAGCTGATTGAAATCGATAATGGTGAGCTTTGGTTCCGTGGAGCGTCTCGGCTCGGCTATTTTGCCGACGAGCGGTGCCCCGGGACTCCGGAACCTGTAGCTTAGGTTTCTGCCGCCACCGCCGCCGCCCGTTCCAGTTCCAATCCCGGCCCCACTTCCGGTTCCCGGCACGCCGACGTTCATTCGCGTACCGCTCATCGATCGGTAACGCGGCTCCGCTACAGGCATTTCACGGAAGTACCTGCAAATTACAAATGAATGCACTAATAATAGAGGGAAAAAAAAGACGAAGAAGAAATAATTACAAAACTGACAATCAAAAAAAAAAATAAATAAACAAAAAAAAAGGCGAACAATTTTTTCCCTATTTTACAAATCTTTTAAATTTAAAAGCAATTTTAGTCTCAAATGTTTAAATTTTTTTTTGATTTGAAATTCAATTTTTTTAAAACTTTTGAGAATATAATTGAAGTTTTGAGAAAAATGTATTACAATTTTTAAAAACAATTGAATTCTTTGGAGAAAATTAATTAAAATTGTATTGAAAATAATTAAATTCCTGAGAAGAATTCTTTTTTGTTTGCAAAAAAAATTAAATTATTTGTTATTAAAAAAGAAGTGAATTTTTTTTACAAACAAAAACATCATTCTTCTTAGGAATTCAATTATTTTCAATACAATTTTAATCAATTTTCTCCAAAGAATTCAATTATTTTTAAAAATATTATTTAAATTCAATTATTTTCAAGTGTTTTAAAAAAAATTCAATTATTTTTATAAATTGTAAAATTCTTGTCTAGAATTCAATTATTTTTGTAACTAATAAAATTCTTCTGAGAAATTCAATTATTTTCAATACAATTTTAGTAAAATTTCAAGGAAAAAATTCAATTATATTCAAGATAATTTTAAGAAAATTTCTCTAACAAGTTTAATTATTTTTAAAAATTGTAATAAAATTTCTCTAAACAATTCAATTGTTCTCAAAACTTTAAAAAAAAATTCTTTGTAAATTTCAATTATTTTCAAAATTTTCAATTAAAATTATTTTTAAAAATTACATTATTTTTACGAAATTTAATGAAATTCTTTAAAAAACAATGTATTTATAAAAATAATTGAATTTTTTCGAAAAATTTTATCAGAATTGTTGAAAATAATTGAATTTTTATTTAAACTCTTGAAAATAATTGAATTTAAATAATATTTTTAAAAACAATTGAATTCTTTCGAGAAAATTGATTAAAATTGTATTGAAAATAATTGAATTCCTAAGAAGAATTATGTTTCTGTTTGTAAAAAAAATTTACTTCTTTTTTAATAAAGAATAATTTAATTTTTTTTTGCAAACAAAGAAATAGTAAACTCTTCTCAGGAATTAAATTATTTTTAATACAATTTTAATTAATTTTCTCGAAAGAATTCAATTGTTTTTTAAAATTGTAATACATTTTTCTCAAAACTTCAATTATTCTCAATAGTATTTAAAAAATTTAATTATTTTCATAAATAATAAAATTCTTCGAAAACATTCAATTGTTTTTTTTATAAATAGTAAAATTTATGACAGGAATTCAATTATTTTCATTAATTAAATTATTTTCAAAAACTCTTAATAAAATTCAATAATGAAATGTTTAATTAAAAATTTTAAAACACGTTAAAACACGTTTTTAAAAAAAAAATGAAAGAAATATTTCATAAAATTCAATTACTTTCAAAATTTTCAATTGAAATTATTAGAAAAAAAAAATTATTTTCAAAAAAATACAAAAATTTTTTTAATAAAATTCTTATCGGAAATTTAATTATTTTCAATATGAAATTTTAATAAAATTGTTCGAAAGAATTCAATTATTTTCAAAATTTTCAATTCAAATTATTTTAAAAAACCACATTATTTTAAGAAGATTCAATTATTTTCAAATTTTTTTATAAAATTCTTCGAAACTATTCAATTATTTTTATAAATTGTAAAATTCTTCGCAAGAGTTAAAGAATTTTTATAAATAAAAAATAATTAAAATCTCCTCAGGAAATCAATTATTTTTATTATAATTTCAATCTTTCTCGACAGAATTCAATTATTTTCAAAAATTGTAATTTAATTTTTCTAAAAAATTCAATTATTCTCAAAAGTTTCGATAAAATTCTTTGTAAATTTCAATTATTTTTCAAAAATTTCAATTAAAATTATTTTTAAATTATTAAATTTATTTTATTATTATATTATTATAAATTATTATAAAATTTAATAATGAAATTATTAATTGCAATGAGTAACATACACGATTGTGTTAAAAACTTAAAAGAAATTATTCACATAAAATTCAATTTTAGTTTAAATATTTTCAATTAAAACTATTAAGAAAAACTATTATTTTAAAAAAAATTCAATTATTTTTCTAAATATAATAAAATTCTTTGCTAGAATTCAATATAATTTTAATAAATTTGTTCAAAAGAATCCGCAATTCTTTTCAGAACGTTAATAAAATTCTTTTTATGAATTAAATTATTTTGATAAATATTGTAAAAATCTTGTCAAGAATTAAATTATCTTTAAATAAATTATAAAATTCTTCGTAGAAATTCAATTATTTTCAATTAAAATTTTGATAAAATTTTTTATAGATTTTAATTATTTTCAAAATTTTCAATTAAATAAAAAAAAAATTGTTTAGAAGAATTTAATCTACCTTGAATATTTTCAAAATAAATTAATGAAAATTTTAATTAGTATTACGATTTATAGAATATTAATTCTTAATGATTAACTACGAATTAAATATTTAAAATTTTCTTCCACAATTCAAATAAGTATGTAATAATAAAGAGTTTAAAATGTAGAAATTAATTAAAATTGAAAATTATAGAAAAAATACACATTTGAAATTGTGCATTATAATTGAAATGGAAATGATATTCACTCGTGGATGCTGGTGAAATGCAGAGGCGCTGGAGTTCTAGCTGTCCTGGGACGAGGATCCCGAGGAACTCGATATCTCTGACGAGATTGACGTCCTCGTTTCGCTGAAGGCTTATCCGGCAAACTCGAGGGAATCAATCCTGTTAGCTTGTAATATTCTAAAAATACCCTCGCCAAATTTCTTCCTACTCTGTAATCTATTTAACAGTTAAGGCCTAAGATATAATTTTCAAATTATTTTCCATGCAGAAAAAAAAATCGTTTTCATATATTTTTAGATCAAAACTGTATAAATTATAATAAATTAAAAAAAATATATTAAATCAAATTGAAAATATTAAAATAAAGCAAATAATAGTCCGACAAATGCAGTTTAAAAGAATACTTATAACTTATAATGTTATAGGAATGTTCTCTTTTTCTATTTTTTGCTTCTTATTTTTCTTTTTCTTTGTAACAACAATTGTTTAATCGATAGTTTATATGTATAACTTTTTAGTTTAATTATCCTTTCGTGAAATTTATTTCCACTTTAGTTTAGTTGTTGAAATTTCTTTTTCCACCTGTCTGACAAAGATCGCACTTTAACACGAGTGACTAATCAGGCCAAACTGGAAGTGAAGACCCACTCGTGCAATGATGTTTCTGTACAGTGAAAAGTTTCAATAAAGCTTGCCCGTGCAAAAACAAATTATCCTTAATTTTATATTTAGTTTTAGTCTCTTGACACTCAAAACACGCAATTAATTTCCATTCCTACTTTTTTAATTAAAAAAAAAATCAGGGTGGTCACAGGTTTCAGTTTTTTTAATTTCCCTGACAATTTACTGACATTAAAATTATCTTCCCTGACAAAATTCTTTATACAGGAAAATTTAAAAGTTTACAAAAAATATGTAAAATTAATGAAATTTAATAATTTCTAAAAATTAAAATTATAACCCTTTCTGATATCAATTATTTTTTTTACAATTTTTAACTAAACTTCATCTCTAAATTAATTATTTTAAATAATTTTTCAAAATTTCTTCAAGAATTCAAATATTTAAATTTAAAAATTCAATTTTTTATCATAATTGTAACTGTCCACGTTTTTTTCTTAAGTTATTAAGGTATAATATTTTTAAAAAAATTAAATAAAAATAAAATAAAAAAAAATAGAAAAAAATAATAAATAAATAAATAAAAAATTAAATTAAAATTATTTCTGAATAATTTTTGAAAAATAATAGTTTTTTCATTCCTACACAATTAAAAAATTTTCAAAAAATTTACATTTGGTAAAATCTTTTAATAATAATTAAATTTTTAAAAAATATAAATAAATAATCAAATTTTTAAAGAATTTTATTTATAAATATGACCATGAAAAAACACTTCTAAAAATTAGTTTTTAAAAATATTTTAATGTAATTTTTGGAAAATAATTGAATTTTAATTAGAAATTTTGAATATGATTTTTTTCTTCAAAACGATAAAAATTATTATTGTTTTTTGTATGTATTTGAATTTTTGACAATTCAATAATTTTCAAAATTTGCAATTAAAATGCTTCAAAAGTTGATTGATGTATTTGAAAAATTTAATTATCTTAAAAAATTATTTAAAAATAATTTTTAACAGATTTTTTTACAGTTATTTTTTGCACTATAAAAAGAGAAATAGTTACATTTTATACTAAAAAATATGTTTTAGGGTAAAGACTCTAAAGAATATTCTGATTCACTCAAAAAAAGTATTAGATACTCAAAAATATGTTAGAAGATTCATTAAATAATTAAATATTTCTTAAAATTGAATTTTTATAAAGAATTTTATCAACATTTTTAAAAATAATTGAATTCTTTCGGCGAATTTAAGAAAAAATTAAGAATAAATGCAATTTTCTATAATTTAATTTAAAATTTATTCTATAAAAAATAATTGAAATTCTACGATAAGTTTTGTTATTTATGTATAAAAATTATTGAATTCTTGCAACGAATTTTATTGAAAAATTTTTTTAAAGAATTTACTTTAAATTTTAATTCAAATTTTTTAAAATTTTTTAAATAATTGAATTGCTTCGTGAAGAATTCTATTTTTTAACGAAAATGATTAGATTGTTTCGAAGATTTTTATAAACATTTCTGAAAATAATTATATTCCTTTGAAGAACGTTATATTTTACGAAAATAATTGTATTGATCAATTTTATTATAATTTTTCAAATTTATAAAGCATTTTATCAAAATTTTTTTAAATAATTGAATTTTCGAGAAAAATTTTATTATTTATGAAAATAATTGATTTCTTGAGAAGAATTTTAATAACTAAATCTTGTAAAGAATTTTGTCAACATTTTTTTAAATAGTAGAATTTTTAAAAGAATTATATTTAAATTTTTCGAAATAATTGAATTTCTTAGAACAATTTTTTTCAATTCTCTGAATATATTTGAATTCTTTCGTGAAACTTCATTAAAAAAATAAAAATAATTGAATTCGTGCGAAGAAATTTATTAAAAAAAATTGGTAAGCAATGGAATTCCTGTGGAATTTTTATTCAAATTTTGTTTAAATAATTGAATTCTTTTGGAAAATTTTATTAAAATCGTAGATATTAAAAATAATTGAAATGAGGAAAATTTTTGAAAATAATTGAAATTTTGACAAGAATTTTATTAAATTTTTTGAAAATAACTCATTAAATTAATTTATAAGTAATAATTTTATGGTAGTTCTTGAAGAATTAAGTTATTTAAAAAGAAATTATTGTCAGAAATAGAAAATATTGAAGATTTTGTATTAGAATTAGTGGCATTTTCATAGTTTATGAGGCAAACAAAATAGACTCCAAAATTCAGAATTTTCTTATAAATTCTAAAAATTTAATTTTTTCCAGTGCTTTTAATAAAAATCCCTGACTTTTCTGTGCTTTCCCTGACCAATTCTAATTTCCTTGACTTTTCCCTGAATTCCCTGACCTGTGGCAACCCTGTTATTGACATGTGGCCACCCTGAAAATATATTTGTTCTAAAGTAAAAATAAAATTTCCATTTAAAAAAGGATACATCCTTCCTCAGTGTACGGCAAAATGTCAGTGGTTCCTTTTCGGGAATATCCATACATCGAGACGAGAATTGTGTAACAATTCACATGCTCGCTGAGAATAGAACAAAGGTACCGACGAGCAGTTCCGGATTTATGCAAATCCTGATTATACATCGTGTTTCCAGCCTCATAGTCCTCGGCGTGTTGAGCAAGTAGTTTTGGTAAGACAATGTGTCTCTCGTACCTAAGGGGCTGACAGCCATTTTATATACATATATATTTGTCAAATTTTGCAAAATCAAAAAAAAAAATACTACTTGCAAAAGAACAAGATTTACATTGCTTTTCGCTCTCTGTTGATTTTAGAGCAACTTTTGAATTTGTAGGTTCTTATTTACACGGAGAGAAAATAAATATCAAATTTCGTAAAAGTATTTTACAATTAGATATAAAAAATAACTTTAAATAAACTTGTATGATAAATAATAAAATTCAATTACTTTTTTATAAATAGTAAAATTCATCGCAGGAATTCAATTATTTTTAAAACTGTTAATTAAATTCTTGCCAAAATTTTTAATTATTAACAAAAACTTTGATAAAATTGTTTACAAGAATTTAATTTTCTATCAAAAATTAAAAACAAAATTTAACAATAAAATTTTATTAATTACAATTATTAACAAAATCGATTATATGCAAAATATATTAAAGAAATTTTCTAAAAAATTCAATTATTGTCAAAATTGAAAATAGTATCTATTCTTCGAAAGAATTCGATTAATTTCAATATTTAAATGAAATTCCTTAAATGAATTCAATTATTTTAAAATTAAACTAAGGTAAATACTTTTTTTTAAAATAATTTTTCTTTAACTCTCATGAAATTATGTTTACCTGTAAACATCGTCATATGTGTTGCCATAAACGAAAACACCAGTGGCATTTGTGTGAGCGTGAAGATCCAAAACACAGTCCAACGGTGTTTTATGATCCTTGTCAAGTGACTCCAAAAGTGATCGCGTCGCCTCCAGGGTTGGATGAATCCAACCGGAAATCCGATTCCAGGACCTGTTTAGATCCATGCCCATGAGCGTCGACCTAAATTTCAAAATAATGTATAAATTATTATCAACAATTTTAATATAAAATCAATTATTTTCGACAATTTTGATGAAATTCTTTTTAAAAAATCATTATTTTCAAAAAAAAATTCGATTATTTTCATAAATAATAAAATTCATCAAAGGAATTCAATTATTACCATAAATAATAAAATGTTTCAGAGGAATTCAATTATTTTCAATACAATTTTAATAAAATTTCTCGAAAGAATACAATTATTTTTTAAAATATTATTTAAATTCAATTATTATCAAGAGTTTTAATAAAAATTCAATTGTTTTCAATAATTTTGATAAAATTCTTCGAAATAATTCAATTATTTTTATAAATTGTAAAATTCTTGGCATGAATTCAATTATTTTTGTAACTAATAAAATTCTTCTGAGAAATTCAATTATTTTCAATACAATTTCAATAACATTTCTAGAAAAAAATTCAATTATATTCAAGATAATTATAGTAAAATTTCTCTAACAGGTTCAATTATTTTTTAAAATTGTAATCAAATTCCTCTAAACAATTCAATTGTTCTCTTAAGTTTTAAATAAAAGTCTTTGTAAATTTCAAATATTATCAAATTCTTCAATTCAAATTATTTTTAAAAAATTAAATTATTTTTACGAAATTTGATTAAAAAATTTTGATAACATTTTCAAAATAAATTTAATTATTTTCAAATTTTTTTATAAATACTTTACAAGAATTCAATCATTTTATTATTTCTGAAAATAATGGAATTCTTAAATAGAATTTTATTAAAACTTTTTAAATAATTGAATCCCTGCAAAAAATTCAATTATTTTTTAAAATAATTGAATTTTCTCAGAGAATTTAAACAAGATTTTTAAAAGTAATTGAAATTTTTGAAGAAATTTATTAAAATTGTATTGAAAATAAGTTAAATCCTGATAAGAATTTTATTACTTATATAAAAATAATTGAATTTTTTTACGAAAATTTTTCTCAAAAGTTTTAAATAAAATTGTTTGTAAATTTCAATTATTTTCAAAATTCTCAATTAAAATTATTTTAAAAACACTCCACTATTTACAAGAAAATTGATATAAATTCTTCAAAGCAATTAAATTATTTTCTAAAATTTTAAAAAACCTTCGAAACAATTCAATTATTTTTATAAATAGTAAAATTCTTCAAAATAATTTAATTATTTTTATAAATAATAAAATTTTTCTCAGGAATTCAATTATTTTCATAAATAAAAAAATTCTTCTCATGAATTCAATTATTTTTAATACAATTTTAATAAATTTCTATTGCTTTCAAAATTTTCAATTAAAATTATTAAAAAAACTCTATTATTTAAAAAAAATTTAAAGAAATTCTTCAAAAGAATTTAATTAGAATTTTTAAAAATTTTTAAAAAATTCTTCCCGAGAATTTAATTATTTTCATAAATAAAAAAATTCTTCTCATGAATTCAATTATTTTTAATACAATTTTAATAAAATTCTACTGCTTTCAAAATTTTCAATTAAAATTATTTTAAAAAAAACTCTATTATTTTGAAAAAAATTAAAAGAAATTCTTCAAAGGAATTTAATTAGGATTTTTAAAAATTTTAACAAAATCCTTCCCGAGAATTCAATAATTTTCATAAATAAAAAAATTCTTCTCAGGAATTCAATTATTTTTAACAAAATCTTAATAAAATTCTTCTTTATAAAATTCAATTGCTCTTCCCGTGAATTTAATTATTTTCATAAATAAAAAAATTCTTCGAAGGAATTCAATTATTCTCTTTATATTTTTTGATAAGATTTTTTTCAAGAATTCAATGCTTCTTAATATATTAATTTTAAAATTGAAAATATTTAAAAAGAAAAATTCTAAAAACAGTTAGGAAACAAAGAAGCAATCAACAACTAATTTCAAACTGCGAACAGATTACCGGAATACAACGATTATTAATATAAATTTAAATAAATTATTCAGGAAATGAAAAAAAATACGTCTCACCTATAATTTCCGAGAAAAACACCGTCTGGATTGAGCATGGGTACAATTTTAAAAACAACATATTCCCGAAGAACCTTAGCGATTGGATGTGCGCTGACCAAAAAATCCATGAGCCCCTGACAAACAAAGGAGGACGGCGACTCTCCAGGATGGACTCTCGACAAAACAGCAACCACTTTACGTGGATGCTCCTCGCATTTTTCATTCGACGTAATCGTGATCAATTCGACTTTTCTCTTTTGCACCGAAGACGATAAATTCTCCCTTCTCACCCATGAATATTTCAATACCAAATTATCCAAATGTCCCTGGTAACGTGTATAGGAATAAGGATACGTGAGACAAAATTGATAGGCCTCGTCCTCACGATCGAATGCAAAGGCAAAACTCAAAACGTGATGATTTTGATGTTGCGCCGATTTATAGTAAAACACCTGACGGCCGGGTATTCTTTGCCATTTTGGTCGACTGCTGCTTTTCACGAGGGGCGTCATTCCATCGCGAAAGAGATTTTTACTCTTGGAAATGTTGACGATGTTGAATATCACCCTCTGGTCGACTCTGACATTGTCAACGGTGAAATTGAACCAGAGCCTTAGGCGTGGACTACAGGTGTCTGGCCGAATGAAAAGGTCATATTCGAATTCAGAGACGAGGTCTACTCTGCCAAGGTTCCCCGTTTCGAAAGAGGCGTCGAAACAAAGATGTCCCTTCTTTGCCTTTCCACTGTGACCCGGTGGACGTATCACCAATTTATTCACGTTTCCAAGTCCTCCCTCTGCCTCGCTGTCCTCGCTCTCTGAAAATACATCAGTTCTTTTAAATTTTATTTTCCAATTTTCCCCAAATTATTAATTTAATTAATTAAGGCAAATTAAACACAAAAAAAAATTCGGACAATAAATAAAATATTTATTTACACCACCGTTTCGAAATCTAAATGATTTCCTCTTCAGGGAGTCTATCCAAAAAAATATATATGTACAAAATTAAAAAAAATAATAAAAATTATGTACATAATTAAAATACATAATAAAATTTAACAAATTAATAAATAAAATAAAAATTAATGAATAATTATCTTAGAAAAAAATAATAATTAAAATAGACAAAGACTTGAATTTTATGCCCTGACGATAGAGTAGAGTCTGGAGTCAGAAAATTATAAAGGAAAAATTTAAGTTTTCATCTATTTTAATTATTATTTTTTGGTAAGTTATCATTAATTTTTATTTTTTTTATTTATTGTTAAATTATTTTTTATTATTATTTTAATTATGTATATAATTTTTATTATTATTTTAATTTTGTATATATTTTTTTAGATAGACTCCATGAAGAGGAAATCATTTAGATTTCGAAACGTTGGAGTAAATAAATATTTTATTCATTGTCCGAATGTTTTCCTTTAATATTCCTTAATTTATAAAGGATCTCGGATGTTAAGGATTATTTAACTAATTAATTAATTAATTAATTATCAAATATTTTTTAATTTTTCCGGAGAAAGTTTTTCTAAGGATATCAAATTGAGACAAGAAAACAAATCAAAAATGTTGCTTCGCAACACTTTTGATTCGTTTCTTGTCTCAATTTTGTTATCCTTAGAATAACTGTGGAATTAATTAAATTAATTATGTTTCAATTCTCTTTTTTGAATTTTTTTCAAATTTCTTTCAATGTTTGAAATTATTTTCTACTTTTAATTCATATATTCTCTATTACTGCATCAGTAATAGATTAATTTTATAAAATAAATTTTGTGATGCGCTCCGAGGAAAGATTCTTAAGAAGCAAAAAATGTTGGGTTATCAGGCTTCGCACTCGATGATTAATTTTTAAAAAAAAGTAGCAGAAAGAAGGTTAAAGACCGAAAAAAATAGCCATCGAAAAATTAAACTTGACGACAAAAAAAACTCGTTTTAGAAACTTTACAAAACTGACAAAAATTGAATTCTTACGAAGATTTTACAAAAAATTTTTTAAATAATTGAATTCTATTTGGAAATTTTATAAAAATGGTAGGCATTGAAAATAATTGAATTCCTAAGAAGCATTTTATTATTTATGAAAATAATTCAATTCTTGCGAATGATTTTCTTCAAATTTTTATAAAAATATTGTTATTTATGAAAATAATTGAATTTTTGCGAACGATTTTATTAGAATTTTTTAAAAGAATTGAATTTCCAAAAAAAATTTATTACTTTTGAAAATAATTGAATTTCTGTGATGAATATTGTTATTTATGAAAATAATTGAATTTTTGCGAACGATTTTATTAGAATTTTTTAAAAGAATTGAATTTCAAAAAAAAAATTTATTATTTTTAAAAATAATTGAATTCCTGTGATGAATATTGTTATTTATGAAAATAATTGAATTTTGCAAAAAATTCTATTAAAATGCCTCAAAATAATTGAATTTTCGGGAATCATTTTGTTATTTATCTTTAATAATAAATTTTTATTAGACAATTCTACTTTTTTTTATTAATTGTAAAATTCTTCGAAAGAATTCAATTTTTTAGAAAAATTGTAACAAATTTTTGTAAAAAATTTCAATTATAAATTTTTTTTTAAATTTTGGAAAAAATCCTTTGTAAATTTCAAGCATTTTCAAAATTTTTTATTAAAATCATTTTAAAAAATTTCATTATTTTCAAGAAATTTAAAAAATTTCTACAAAAAAAATTAAATATTTACGAAAAATCTAATCTAATAATGTTATTTGAAAGAATTTAATTTTATATCAAATATTTTTAATAAAATTTTAATAATAAATACAAATCTTAATAAACCTTGATTATATTCAAAAACTTAAAAAAATTCTTTTAAAGAATTTAAATATTCTAAATATTTTAATACAAAACTTTGAAATGTATTTAATTGAATTCTTACAAATTTTTATTAAAAATAATTCAATTCTTATAATAATAATTTCAATTCTTCTATAGAATTTTATTAAAATTTTTTAACATAATTGAATTTCTTCACGAAATTTTAATAAAATTGAATTGAAAATAATTAAATTCCCTCGAAGAATTTTGAAAAAGTTCTTTTGAATAATTGATTTTTTTTTTAATTCAATAAAAAATTGTATTTCCAATAATTGAATTCCTGTGAAAATTTTATTGTTCATGAAAATAATTAAATTTTTTCAACAAATTTTTTAAGAATAATTACATTTTTCGAGGAATTTGATTTAAAATTTTATTAAAATAATTAAAATTCTCAGATGATTTTTATTATTTATGAAAATAATTGATAATTCTTAAGAAAAATTTTATTATTTATCAAAGTAATTGAATTTCTGTAAAAAATTGAATTATTTATGAAAATAATTAAATGTTCGCGTAGAATTTTATCAAAAATTATTTTGAGTATTTAAATTGATTGGGAAAATTTTATTTAAACAATAAATATTGAAAATCATTGAATTGGGAAAAATTTTTGAAAATAAGTGAAATTTTGCCAAGAAATTTATTAAAATTTTTGAAAATAATTGAATTTCTACGAAGAATTTTATTGAAATTTTTGAAAATAATTTAATTTATTTAAAGTATTTTATTATTTATGATAATTGAATTTCCAGGAAGAATTTTATTATTTATGAGAATAATTGAATTGTTACAAATTTTTTTTGGACAAATTTAATGAAATTTCATTGAAAATAATTTCAATTTTTATATAGAATTTTATTAAAATTTTTGAAAATAATTGAATGTTTTCAAGAGATTTTATTAAAATTGCATTAAAAATAATTGAATTGCTGTGAAGAATTTTTGAAAAAATTCTTTTGAATAATTGAATTGCAGTAAAAATTTTATTATTCATGAAAATAATTCAATGTTTGCGAAAAATTTTATTAAAATTCTTTTCAATAATTGAAATTTGTTTTGGGAAATATTATTAAAATAGTAGATATTGAAAATAATTGAATTTCGAAAATTTTTTAAAAATAATTAAATTGTTTCTAATAATTTTATTCAAATTTTTGAGAATATTTTTTTATTCCAACTTTTAGGAAAAAAAAAGTCCATGAAAACTGGTTTCAAATTTAAATAAACAAAAAGGAACTTTTAGCCAAGATGAAACTAACACGAAAATAACTTCAAAATTTTAGGTATTATTATTATTATTATTTTAGCTTCTTAGATACCTTTTTTGGGAGCGTGTCACATTTGCAAAAAAAAGAGAAATATTTCCTCAAATTAAAATTAAAAAAAAATAAATGTATTAAGTAACAAAAAAAAAATATTAGAGAAAAATGTTTTCCAGCATCCAACCGGCTCTTTGATAGAGACTCGTGTGCTCGAGAGGATCACGACCCTCGTGGGTCATTTTTTTCCCTCTTTTTTTTGGGGGTATTTTTCAAGAAATTATTAGAGGTTCCTCCTCGTCGAGGAGACCGAAAACGACTGATAATTTTCAACTAGTTGTGGATGATCGTTAGTTAGCGTGTGATAGTTAACGTTATAGTTGAACACCTTGTGGGTGAGAATCACGTTACATCCGATCTTCACGTGACTTGCTTCGTGACGAGCTTTGCACACGAGAATCCGAAATTTAGAATTCGCGTGGCGAAAGCATTGATAGGTCATTCAAGAATTTCCCTCATTTCCTCAACTGCCATGTGGCCCGCAAATAATTACTCTTACACCTCTCGAATTTTTTCCCACCCTTTTTACTATATGTAAATGAACTTGCAATGAATTCGAAAGCATTCAGTTATTTTCATAAATAAATAATCAAATTTTTTCGCAAAAAAAAAAAATTATTTTCAACAAAATTTTAATAAATTCTTCGAAACAATTTATCAATTATTTTTTTAAAATTGTCAAATCTTTGCAAAACTTCAATTAATATCAATAAAATTTCACGAAAGAATTGTAATTCTTTCGTGAAATTCTTTATAAACATTAAATTCTTTATAAGATTTTCAAAAAAAATTCAATTCGTTTCTAAAATTGTAATAAAATTTATTCTTCCTAACAATTCACTTAAATTTTCATAAAAAATAAAATTCTTCCAAAAAATTCAATTATCCTTATAAAAAATAAAATTCTTATGAAAATTTCAATTATTTTCAAAAATTTTAATAAAATTCTTCACAATAAATTAATTATTTTCATAAAAAATAAAATTCTTTGAAAGATTTCAATTATTTTCATTAATAATAAAATTCTTTGGAAGATTTTAATTATTTTCAAAAATTTGAAACAAATTTTTGTCACGAATTCAATTATTTTCTGTGAATAATTGAATTCTTTACAGAATTTTATTTATTTTCACAAATTTGAATCAAATTCTTCCTAAAAATTCACTTAAATTTTCATAAAAAATAAAATTCCTCCAAAAAATTCAATTATCCTTATAAAAAATAAAATTCTTATGAAAATTTCAATTATTTTCAAAAATTTTAATAAAATTCTTCCTAAAAATTCAATTATTTTCACAAAAAATAAAATTCTTTGGAAGATTACATTTATTTTCATAAATAGAAAAATTCTTCGAAGGATTTCAATTATTTTCAAAAATTTTAATGAAATTCTTCCTAAAAATTCAATTATTTTCACAAAAAATAAAATTCTTTGGAAGATTTTAATTATTTTCATTAATAATAAAATTCTTCGGAAGATTTTAATTATTTTCAAAAATTTGAAACAAATTTTTGTCAGGAATTCAATTATTTTCTGTAAATAATTGAATTCTTTACAGAATTTTATTTATTTTCAAAAATTTTAATAAAATTCTTCCTAAAAATTCAATTATTTACATAAAAAATAAAATTCTTTGG